TGCATGGCATAATAAAATCAATTTGGCGCTATTTTGAATATGCTGTGAACAATTGGTTTTTTTTTTTTTTTAATACTTACAGTCATATGAAAAGTATCTGTTGTATCGTAGCAGCATTATTGTATGGAAAATTTATGTAGTAGGCGGTAATAATAGAAGAATAACGAAGAAAAACGAGCCAACGACTAGCATTACAATATCTGATACGATACGAATGGCGGCCATGTAAATGCGGTAAGATCGCAACTGCTTATTAAGGATATCGGAAATCGGTAGAGAACTCCAATCGTAAGAATCTAGCATTTAAACTTACTAATGTGAGATTTTCCGTATGAGCAATAATATAATAATATTTTGCCACTTCAAGGTTTTAGTGCGCATTAATGGTTCTTGTATCCCTATGGTGGGGGATACGCTATGTCGAATATGTTGATTTAATGATGCTTATGGAGCGATAAACTCAACGTATTTTATATTAATTAGTGTGGTATATTGGAATTCTTACATTCATTCGTCATTTAAGGTATTAAGATACGAAATTATATTATATGCTGTCATTACAATAATCCAAACGCTAGAATGTAGACGAATGTTGGTGGTGCCCTAATACTTATTAACTTGACTAATTGAAATCATTAACGCAAAGAAATCTTTTTCATTCTCTCAAATTTTTTATAAGCATTTCACATTGATCAATCTTAAATACAATATCCCTCCAAATAATTACATGTAATTTATAATAACATTCGCGATACAGGTACCATCTCTATTAAATTAGAATAGTATTTACAGGTATTATTATCTGCATCCGATTCTAGACCGATTCTAGATCAAAATCAAAAGTAGTTTTTATTTATTTATTTATTTTTTTTATTAAAATGTACAATATAATAAGAGTCACTCGCCAAACGAACGATTAAATACATTAAATAAATATTAAATTTTCGTATTAAAAAGTTCCATTATTTTTTCTTTTTTTTTTCTTTTATTATTTTGTTTATTTATTTAACCAGTATTTGAAATATGAAACTTCATCGCTCTATCAATTCAAGATCAATAACGCTCCAACATTAAGAAAATCAATTCTAGAGATTACCCGGATCTGTAAATCAAATTCTATTTAAGTTTATTATCTTTCCACTTAAGGACAAATTTACTTGAAAGTAATTATAACATAAAGAAATTGCCAACATTAAGCAACCAAGTATAATGTTTAATATACTATCATGCTAAAATAATTATAAATAAATATTCGATCGAATCCAAGTTTGAATTTAATTTCATTAAATTGGCACTGGTTACGTTTACGTTTTATCCGGCTATTTTATTAGAATATTGTTATGTATTACTGAATATTAAACTTTCAATACTTATGTGAATTCGATATAATTTATAGTTTTCATGAAATTTTTAATATGCCCCCGGGTGAACAAAAAATTAAAATAACACACATAATATCCGATAGTTTGTATATCATCAGATTTTAAGAAATTACGTTATTGCAGATTTATTTATATTTATAAACAACTGCGTAAATTTGATACATAAAATGACATGTTTGTATATTCACATATTAAGAATATCATTATTGATATAGTCACTTTTTTTTTTTTAATTTTTTTTTTATTTTTTTATTTTATTTCAAATTATCTCTTAATGGATGATAGTATTTTATGACTAATAGATTTCACTTTCCCGCAAAACATTCTAGTTCAAAATTACTTTAATACACAGATCTCACTCTTGTAAACATTTATTTTAAAAATTTTCTTTACAACAATTTTCTTACACCATTGATAAAAATTATAAAAATAAAAATAAATTATTTGTAATATATTAAAGAAGAAAATAAAGTAACATAAACGTTATTAATGATACAAATATATATTTTTATAATAATTTTTTTTTTTTTTATTTTTTTTTTATTTTTTTTTTATTATTCTTTTTATTTTAATGAATGATAACATTAAATGAAATAATGAAGTGAAAACAAGATAATAATGTATTTATAATTGTATTGAGAATCTATGTTGAAATAAACTTTAATTAAAAAAAAAAAAAAAAAAAAAAAATTATATTTACAATTCAATAAAATGTACGAATCCTTATAAAGTTATGCAATAATTTTTAATAATATATAATGTCCTTCCATAACAATTATAAAATCCATTGTGTCAACGCGAAATACGTTATAATCATGAATAATTTCCTTTTATTTTACAATGCTTTAATAGAAAATAAATGTTTTTATGCTAGTGTACACAAATCTTATTATGTACAAGAAGTTTGCAATAATATTAAATAATATACGAATTAATTTAACAAAGGTTTTTCTCATCTTTTTAAAAAAAAAAAAAAAAAAAAAAAAAAAAAGAACCGTTTGTCCCTAAAAGTTTCTTTTGAGTGAAATATTAAACTAAGGACAGAATTAAAAAATATTTTAATAAAACATGAAGATCATAAATGAAACTATAAAAATAAGAAGGAAATAAAAATGATAATTCAATTACCAATGATAAAAGTTGCATGAAAGCCATGTTAATGTATAAAAATAATTAGAAAAAAATAAGTAATATAAAACTAATTCTATAAATGAACAATAAATAAAAACGTAAAACGTATGGAAGTTATTAAGTAAAGTTCTTGTGAAAAGCACGTACACGATAATAAAACGTGATCTTCGTAATAGTAACGCTTATTTATACTTTTCAATATTGGCAGTATTCTTTAATATTAAATTTTATATCTTCAACTAGGTTATCGAGAATATGTAATAAAATTAATGACTACTGATACAGATGATTTTAAAAAATTGCGGTAATAGTGTCTAAGCAAGGAGTTTAGATTAATGTTGAAAATCATTGAACGATACCGTCACTACATTTCAAAATAAATATATTCTCTCTTATCAATGCGCGGATCTCGCGACAGCAAATAATTAGACCAATATGTAAATGTATAGAAAGTTAAATGGGGAAAACCGTTTGAAAGAATGTGTGGACATTATGTACGCTCTGATTGATATTCCAGAAATAAAGATATAAAAGTATTTTGATTGTATGAAACGGTTTAATTTGAAATATCATTAAACGTCATTATATTGCGATACTAATCGATTACGAGGGCTTACGGTATATTTGCATACAAAGCAAATGTTGTTGTTTTTTTTTTTCTTTATACAGTGATACTCGCGTTAATCAGTGGTGACTGTGAAGGAAACAGTAGTTTAATTTCAATAGTTCATTTATGTTATTTTACATTATAATATTCAATATCATTGGCATTTCATTAGGATTTAAAATTAAAACGAAGCTTTAACAACAGAGTTGCTAGAGCAAAGTATTGACGCTCGCTTGATCGATAATTTAAAAAAATATCTGAAACCACTTTTAATATCTTATTATAGACAATGTTCTGAAAATAGCTGTTCATCAAAAATTAAAGTGGCTTGAAGATTTTCTAATTATGGTATGTTACATTCGACCGGCAATTACATAAACTAGGGCGATTCGTAATTTCAATGAGCTAATATTTTATTTAACTGGATAGGTCAATAAAATTTAGAACGTTGCTATTTTTTTTTTTTTTTTTTTTTTTTTTTTTTTTTTTTGGGCAAATTTAAGAATGTTAAGAGCACGATATACCTACCTACACTGAATAATTACCACCTAAAAAGTAAGTAAAAATTCATGAAAATTAAGAAAATTAAAGAAATAGAATGGCCATAAATGTATGGATAATAAAATTAATAATTATAGAGATATTATGCACATGCGCGTTTGCTTTATTTTACTTTTGTCTCTCTTTCTCTCTTTCTCTCTCTCTCTCTCTCTCTCTCTCTCACTCTCTCTCTCTTTGTCTCTGAAAATACTTGTACTTGATAATTAACAACCGCAGCGTTAGAAACAACTTGTGCGAGACTCATTGGTATTCCAATCTACGTGATTAACAGCTTAGATAACTATGTATAGCCATCCTAATGGGCACGTATTCGGATAATCGGACATCGCCGTGGAAATGTGCTTATAAGCTCAGCAGCGGGAACTCTAATAGAATTGTAAAAATGTTCCTCAACAGAAATCAAACGAAAGCACTTTACCTTGGTCGAACATCCGATAGTCAATTAATTTTTATTCTTCGGTTAATAATAATAATAATAATAATAATAATAACAACAACAGCAGCAACAACAACAACAACAACAACAACAACAACAACAACAACAACAACAACAACAACAACAACAACAACAACAACAATAACGACAATAACAATAACAATAATAAAATAATAATGATAATAAAGTAAATAATAATAATAAAGTATGTTGTTTTGTTAGCTCTATTGGACACAATCAAAGTTACCACTAGATTCACGTCATGTTCCTGGATGTTGCGCCAACGTCACGTAAAATCAGTGGATTAATCGTAATCTGCAAAGATTAATCGTAGCAGAGCTGAAATTATAAAGCTACAGATCTTTATAAAATAGGGACGCATTGGACTTGAGTTCGTTGTCTATTCGTCGCGAAAACTGCGATGAACTCATTTACACACGGCACGCAGCCGCAAATTTAGATAATAAATTTAATAATCTTACACGTACAAATTTTCTCTAGGAAAATTTTGCCCCTAACGATCGGAAATTTAAGCAGTCACATCTTTTTATCAAATTCGAATAGCAAGGATAATAATTTTGAATGGCCGAGAAAAGCAAGAATACGGTGTACGCTATTGGAGGAGTGCCGTACATGAAATTTCGAAATATAACTTTATAGTCGAGTGATGAATTTGAAATGAATTAAAATTATTATGTCAATTTTATTGTTGTCGACGTATTATGTCGCAAGTTAATTATCATTTTAATAATTGGTCCGGGCACAATAATACACATTACCATTTTTATTGAGGTTTTACAATCAATTTCGGTTAAGGACAATAGTATTATAATCGATCGATGATTAATCAATAACAACGTAATAAAAATAAAAATCACAAATATATTGCTTTAATTAGGTCGATAATAAAGAGATTGTATGTTCCGCGAAATGTCATGTGCCATAGTGTTATCGGTTATTCTTTTCGACATCTTGTCACGTGAAACCTAACAAATAAACATGAAAAAATAATTTACAAGAATTGCGATTAGCGACGAAATCGTAGGCATGTTTTCAATCTTTCTGCGAAAGTCGTATTCACACGTTCCTTTAATTCTGAATGGATTTAATTTCCACTTTTTTGAGGTTATGTTATGTATAAAATTTTTTTTCAAAATTATAATTGTTTATAAAAGATTCGTTATAAATCACAGTTAAGAAATTAACCAATATTTCAATTATAATTTTAATCGTGTGTTTCAGTAACACATCGAAGAGTATACTGGCATTTGTAAATGTTCGCTTAAATTTATTCATTGTATGTTTTTTTCATTGTTTAGGTGATGTTAAGGGGACCAAAGAAACGTCGCAAAGTCTTGGTTTTTACTGCCAGAGGCTGAACGATTTCATTAGAAAAGCGAGATAAAGCCAAAGTAAATAATGAATGCTGTCATAGCACTTTGTACATTTTGTGAAATGCATGGTCCAAAAGTCATATTTACTACCCAAACTTATAGAAGTTTTGATAATAAAGATACCGAAAAGTTAAAGTTCTACGGTCCCAAAGAAGTTTTACGACAACCGCAAGGCTTACAAACTGAATTACAGGAGAACTGCGAAGGTTGCCATAGTTTAGGAAATCTGAAATACTTGAGTAACGAACACGAGACGAGAACCTCTTTCCTTTCCGCGCAGCAGCCTCTCATGCAAGATATCAAAACACTTCTCAAACATGCTTGTATAAGGTAAACGTTATTCGAATTCGCATCGCATTAAATAGTAATATTTTAATATTTAACTTGATCTTGAAACCGGTGCTGTAATTATTATAAAATAAAATTTTTATTATCGTTTTAATTAGGAGCTTAAGTTGCGAAGTACATCCTGGAAAGGAAGGAGTTTGTTATTTTGGCGATGAATCAAGAGGTCATGTTCTAAGTCATACATTCTCTTTAAAAGATGCACAAGTAGGATATACTTCAGCCAATTTATAATACATGTTAAATGATAATTTTATTTTACCTTTTTTTTGGTAAAAAAATCTTATTATTTCAGGCTAGAGGATTGCGAAGGTGGTGTAGTTTTATAGTCTTTATGAGGGATAAACAGTTTTTATTAAATATGTGGCCATTTCTTGTAGATAATTTAAAAGAGATAATTAGAGAATTACAAGAATTTGCGGAAAAGAAATATAACGAGGAAGAGGCTAAATGCCCACAGCGGGTCGTGCGTTTGACTACGGTTAATTGTGGGCCCGGCTCTAAGCCCACTACCAATAAACAATCGCGAACTATCAATGAAATTACAAATGAGAAGCATGTGTTTGTAAGGTTAGAATATTAATTTATTAGCAACCAAGACTTTAAAGCGTTAATTTAATTTAAAAGTAAGATTTTCCTAGAATTCATATGTGGTTTGTTTGGATACTGAGTGCTGGAGCAAGACATTTTGTAGAAATACTGCCTATGGGCTTATTAGATACGGACATTAATTTTGATTTAGACGATCCACTTGGTAATTATCAAACAAACAATATTAATATTACTCCATAGTGTTATCAATATATGCTCTATATTTATTTCTTATTACCTAGAAACCGAAGAAGGCTTTACTTTAATTAATGCCAAATCTCCTGTTAACTTAAGAGTGAATACTCAAATACAAGATTTCAATGAAATTTCCGAATTGAATCCCATTTCAATTCTCAGAAATTTAAGAAATGCACTTGGCGCAGATCAATTTCGACAAATATTATATGCAGCTCTAATAGGGATACAAATTCTTGTGAGAGGTCCGCCAGTGGAAGGTCTAGAATCTTTGTACGGTTTATGTTCGCTTGTACCAAGAGCTTGTCAAAGAGTAAAAACCCATGCACAAGAATATCTGGACTCAAATATATGTAATTTCATTAGTAAGTTATTGCTTTATCTTCAAATAACATTCGTCGGCGAGTTTAAAAATATATCATTGCCCAGCTTCGATAAGAATTGAGTTACATTTGAAATAACTTATTAAACCAGTAAATAAGAGTATTTGTTAAATCGATATGCATTTCAATTGGTATTTGAATAGAATATATTATTGTTGTGTAACTAGGTGTAGATACATCAATTGCGGTGCCTTTGCCTTGCGCAAAAGTCTGTAGGCTTGACATTTTACCTATCGAGCACAGAGCGGAAAACACAAGGTCTCATGTAATTAGATGGGCAGGTATATTGCCACTGAAACTCCCGACTCTTTTAATTAAATTAGAGAAATCCTTAGAAAATGAAAAATTAATCGATTCCGTGCTAAAAGTGCATTTTTCTACGCTACAAGAAGAATGGGCTAAGTATGTATTTTGCTGCTATTTTAAAATGAAACCGATATTGTAAAAGTGATTTTTTAAATTTTTAGTATTGCTAAGGTTGTTCATGCTATGCATGGTCGAGGTCACCGTGGTGATTTAACAAATTTAATGATAAGCTTAGGAGCTGGTCCCCAAGACAAGAAACTGTTAGATGCTTGGTCTATGGGTTTACCGTCGAATCCTGCATAATATTATTAGTAATATTATTTGTTTCTCGTGTTATTAGCACTATTTATTGGTAAAGCGATGGTTACGAAGACATGTTATCTACGTAAATTTCATTTACATTTCCAAGGTTGTGCTATTTTGTATTTATCGATTAATGAAAATTGATATTACTACGGGGAAATAATTCTGTTTGATATGTTGATGTTATTACATTGAAGATTGCAAAGTAAATATAAATAAATTATTCGTAATTGACATTAATTCTTATTTATTTACTTATTTATTATACGTATAAGTACTCATATGAATAAAGTAAATTAAATTTACAGCAAACGAATAAAAATGACCGCTATCTAGTACTTTCAATAGTTCTATAAGAAATATGCACGAATATGAAATATTCAGTTTAATAATAAATACATTGCAACGTCGAATAATAATATGTTAAAGAAAGAGATTTTCTAATGTTGTGAGAAAACGTTACATCTCTGTGCATCGATGAGACAGTACACGAATATAAATATAATTACATTATCTAGTATTTAAATCTATGTAAATATATATTATAAATGATTAAAAATTAATTTTATAATTTTGGAAATATTGTAATTTTTTTTTTTTTTTTTTTTTTTACATAAATTATATCATTTTTTTATACTGTAAAAAAGAAGCTCTTTTTTTATCAAGGAGATTATTTATTATTCGTATCACTTTATAATATGTGTAAGAATAGACAGTGTTGTACGCAATCCGCATAAATAAGTTGAATAATACAAAGCTTCGCTAAAAATATTGTAACATTTGAAAAACGATCATCGAATGTAAATATTGTTTTATATAAAGTTAATAAAAAAAAAAAAAAAAAAAAAAAAAAAAAAAAAAAAAAAAAAAAAGAAAAGAATAAAAAATGATGTAGCTTATAACTTCTAATTTATAAGGTCATAAATAACATTGGCTATTTAGATTCGTGTAAAGCTTTATTTCTACCTATTTAATTATCATTATTATTAAAAAGAAAGAAAGAAATTATTTATCAATCTTGAAAGTAAATAAAAATTGTAATTTCATATGAATTGATAATTTTATGTATAATTACGATAGATTATTATTATTCCGCTTATATATTAATACGATCGTAAGAAGAATATATTTTGTTGTTAAACATCTTATATGTTTAAGAAGTTATTTTATTTTTATTTATCCATAAATTGGAGTTAATGTTACTTTTATTTAGTAATAAATCCAAGTAATAATAATTGAAAAAATAATAATTTTTATTTTATATATAAAACGTTACATTTAATTCAGTTTTTTTTTTTTTTGTATTTACAGCAAAGCTCTATTTGCTTGAAAAAATTGTTCTTGTCATTCTACTTTTAATTAGACACACAATGAAGTTATATATTTTTTACCCGTTTAAGGGATAAAATGTACAAATCGATCGAAATGTATTTTATTTCTTAAATTCTATTTATATGAACTCTTACATGTTGAGCTTCGAATGCATGAGAGGCTGCGTTACTGAATTTTCCCGGGTAATTTAACGAAAAACCCACCTTACATTCATCGGACTTTCGGCAAATGCAATAAGTCAAAATAATAGCTAGTTGATTTGGATTAATTTTTCAATAAGTTTCTTTCATCGCTTATATTGTAGAACGCTCGTTTTTAGTAATCCGTAGTAATATATATATATATATATATATATATATATGTATATGTTTTTTTTTTCTTTACATTTCTTTTTTTTTCTACGTTAATATTTTAAATAGTCTTCTATATTCTGAAATTCGAATCCCGGCTCACGGGTCACTTGTTACACATGCTCAACGCTACTGTGTCGAAAGTATTATAAAAGTTTTTATAATACTTTTTAACGGCTAGAAACTTCTTTGAACTGTACCATTATATTATTTTTTGTTAACTTTTAACGTAATTGTTAAAGCGCCGAGCTTTGTAATAAAAGCAAAGAAAGTTATACGAAAAGTAACTAAACTATAAGCTTAGTAGGGCAATTCAGAGTTGTTCTCATTGACCGACAGCTTCTTTTAGGGCAAATTTATTGAAACTGCTCGATCGTTCAACACACGCAACACACACACACACACACACGACGACGACGACGACGACGACGACATTTATGTATACCAGAGAGTGTAAAGAAATTATCACTTCGCGTCCCCGTTACGCCTTGATAATCAATCATAATGTTGCTTGAACAATTAAATAGAGCAAGCTCTTTGTGCTGTACAACGGACAAAGTGAGAGAGAGAGAGAGAGAGATTAAGAAGACAAGAAAGAATGCTTAAGATGTTTAGAGATGCCGATATGAATTTAACGCGCCTTCGAAGCTACTTAATTAACACGTTATAAGTGAAAAATAAATGACACGTAGGGCCCCGTTGTATTGTTTGCATGACATGTTGCGCCACCTCATTCAATGCCAATAATAATGCATTTGCATTTACTTGCACAACGAACAATGACGTGTGCCCAAGTCGCCGAGTGTCTATATCGACTCGGATGTCAAAATTCAATGGCTCGCGGCTCTTCCCTACCATCTCCCGTCGCTTCATTTAAATCGTTCGTCTCTTACAAGCAAACGTGGCGCATAAATTTACCATCGCACTTCCTGTCTTATAAATTCGTCTTGTCCGAGTTGACGCGAGCAACGTTCATGGCGATAATCATGCCATCGCGCGATGTAAACATCTCGTAAACACACACGCAACCTCTGCCTCACACACCCACGCGGGACATTCGTCGCTTATATTTATGTGCATGACAGATTCGTCAGATGCGTGGCGGTAGAGTGGGAAAATCTTGTGTGGCGTAAAAATTTTATTGTACATACTCGCAGTATTTCCTCTTCAGCGCGTGCCTCGCTCACACGAGACGTCCTGTGCAATAATATTTGCTTTGTAAAAAACATAATCATAATAACAGCAATAACAACAACAGGAACGACAACGACAAAAACAAGAACAGCAGCAATAACAACAACAACAATAATAATAGAAAAAAGAAGAAAACAAGGGGGGGCAGAGAGAGAGAGAGAGAGAGAGAGAGAGGTGAATTTGCAAGGAGAGCGGCACGTGTCGAATGTCCGCGAGTTAAAAAGAAAGAGAGAGAGAGAGAGAGAGAGAGAGAGAGAGAGAGAGAGAAAGAGAAAGAGGATCCATAGTTCAATCGTAGCTGCGCAAAAGTTACATATACTACGTGCAATAGTCGCGTTTAGAAGAAATACGACGAGAGGTGTTATATATTTATATACAGTGATTATATAGTTAGAGGAAGAGCGAGAGGCAGGAGGAGAAGAGAGTGAGAGGCAAAACTAGTGCGCTGTGAAACGGGTGGTAGGGTGGCGTGGAATAGAGGGTGTGCGTTCATGTGTGCGCGCGCCCGTGTGCGTACGTAAGAGAGAGAGAGAGAGAGAGAGAGAGAGAGAGAGAGAGAAAGTGCTCGTGCAAACAAAGTGTGAGAGTGAGTGAGGGAACGGGAGTTGATTAAAGGGGGAAACGGCGGGGCGAGGAGGAGACAAAGGCAGATATAGAAAAGAGTATTTGGGTGTAAAATGGTGGTCGCCTGCGAGGAGTGTGACACGGTCACTTATGTATACGTGGAAGATTAATCCGTGCAACAGTGGTGCAAGCCGGAAAGTGAGTAGACGCTGTAATAGTCTAGCGGTAGGTGGGAAAGGCGAGAGGGGAGCAGACGACGACGAAGACGACGACGACAACGACGACGACGACATCGGCAGCAAGAGCAGCGGGAATAGCAGCCAGGACGAGGAAGGGTACTTGGTGTTGGCCGCGTGTCCGTCATCTACGACTTAGAGGACGACGAGGCGCGCGACGCTCGACGGCATCGGCATCGGTGACGGTGACGACGACGACGACTACGACTACGACTACGACTACGACTACGACTACGACTACGACGAAGACGACGACGACGGTTGCTGCTGCAGCAGCGGCGAAGACGACGTGTCGCGGCGGTAGTGTAGAGCAGCGAGCTCCTCCTACCAGCAGGAGGCAATCCCAGCCAGTGGCGGCCCTCGGTTCCGCGAGGATGGCTGCTGTCGAGGTGAAGATGCAGCATGGCGGCAAGAAAGGCTGGCTATTTAAATGGACCAATTACATCAAGGGTTATCGACGACGATGGTTCGAACTCTTGGACGGGCAGCTCTCCTATTACAGGTACGCTGCTCGGCCTTGGCGTGCATCGCGCGTACACGGGATGGACGACGCGGCCAGTGCTCGACTTCATTATTATTATTCGAGCTGTGCTTATGGTCGCGCGGCATACGCGGCTTCCACCTTTTATCCCCCACTGTTGCTCCATCGGGCACCTAGAATTTTTGAGGGGAAACGACACGCGTACAGATTTTACTCTCTACTTGCTTAATAACAATAACAATAACAATAACAATAACAATAATAATAACAATAATAATAATAATAATAATAACAATAATAATAATAATAGCAATAATAGCAATAATAACAATGCAATTTTGCTACTGTACTGTAGGCTTTGACTTATTGGATGGTAGGGATAGCGACTGCCTTATTAGTGCTATTAAAAATCTTCAAATTAGTTTTGTTTCTGCTCGTTCACTTGGCTTTTAATTAGCTACCGTTTGGCAAACTTACTCAATGATGTAATTAACAGCGGATGGCACGATGAGCAATTTTAAAATATAATATATGCAGTAGTGTCTAATTGTTATAAATATCTTGCAAACACATATTCCATTATTCTTTCATCTTCTCTGTTTTTTTGGCACTGTTGTTTGTTGTTTATAATTGGTTATAATTGTTTTGTGGCATGATAATATCGGTTGTGTTATAGCTTGTAAACAGTTATCAATAATATAACAATTATCAATAATAATATGAGAAAATTTTTTAAATGCCATAATGCTAATGCTGATGCTTAAAAGGAAAAGGTAAAATTGCCAGAATATTATTTGTTGGTTGGAATGGTATTGTTAATCAATAGGCATAATATATTTTACATGAGTTTTGTATGAAACGAGTAATATATTGCCTGTTATATTATGCCCTACCTTTAGTCTTGTATGATTCGACATATTTCTGTAAGACTGTAAGATGAGCCTGTCAAATAATATCATTTCTTTATATGTCCAGAATTTAACTGATAAGATAAAAAGGTTAGGTATGTAAGTGGCATATTCATTATTATTACTCGATTCATAGCAGAACGGCATGATTAACATTGAAACACTAGAATGCGTTAAAAATATAAAAAAAAAAATAAATATATAAATAATCGTTTAGTGCATAAAATGTATGTAAAGCTTTATAAAATACTTGTAATATACATGAAATAGATTAAATGAGTAAGCCTACCAATATAATTAGGTTAAAGTATCTCCATTATTATGCAGCTACTAAATTTATTATACATCCATATATGAATAAAATAAATCAGACAAAGCTGTATGTAACGCTATTTATAACAAAGTCTAAGCTAATAAAGAGACATAATGGTCAATTGACGTAGCATTGACATTGACTGATTTATTAAATATTCAAACAACTGATGTCAGAGTGCAAAGACTTTTTGGAAGATATATTAAACAGTCGTTCATCATTTGTTATAATTCACAATGTTATAGTTTACAATTCTAAAACAAACAAATTTATACAAACGATTGTTATTATTATTTTTTTGCAATCATTATTAATAATTATTAAACTTTGTTATTGTATTTAAAAAAGAAAAGAGAAAAAGCATTCACACGAATGATATATCTTGTAATAATATGTAAAGAATTTTTTAAACATATATGTAGTTCACGAATACTCGTGCCAATTTATTATCTGCTGGACAATCTTTCCAATCGTATAACATTCTTGCTTGCATTTAAGTCCATTGTAAATAATATTTGTGCTTTTAATCAGTAAATTGCTTGACAATGAAACTGTTTAAACAAGTGATTCATGTTCCTACATAGATTGGATATTACATACGCGCTGTATTGTACTGTTCATGTAAATCTTATTAATTCTTACATTATTTTGTCATACAATCTCATAGTTTGCTATTAACAATTACGGAGGATAATGGAGTTTACAAAGGACTATGTTTTTGAGTTCTGATATTTTTAAGTTCTTAAATCCTCACAGTTACAATTTTTCAAACATATGTTATTCATTGATAAAAGACTTACATGTAAATCTACTTATAGTTTACCTACCACTTTCTACTTATTTTAAAATAATATAATTTTACCTGTTACGATTTGCATTCTGATTGTTTTAATTGAGTTTAATTTACATAATTACATGGAATATCACCCATCATCGTTGAATGTAATTTATAAAACAAAGTCGAGTTAAACAAATGTTTATTTATGAAAATATGGCCAACATTTATAATTTCTTATATAAGAAAATCATAAAAATGATTACTTTAATGATTAAAGTTGTTTATCATAAAAAATATGGTATAAAAAAATGAAGGTCGTGCAATAATTTATTATATTTTCCAGGAATAAATCAATGTGCAATAAAGTGATTACTAAAAAGTTGCATAAATAAAATAATAAAAAAAATTTTACTTCTTTAAAAGTTTTTAATGCAATTTCATTTAACAATAATGATGTGTATAATTATAGTATGATTTTATAATTTGTATTGCCAAGATATTTCAATATTTAACGTGAAAAGGAAACATATTGTACTGCTTGAAAGTTCATTATCGTTTATTATATAAATATATAAATTTCTAATTATTTGAACGACGAGTTATATAGTTTTATAAGAGTATTTGTAATTATAATTCTCGTCATAAAGACTGCACTCAAGGTTTTATTTCTAAAGCGATAATTAAAAATCAACTTAAATTATTATGTTATTAAATAGAAAGTTATTGGGTGACCGAAGCTTTTTTCTATTTATTAATATAAAAAATATAAATTTTTTATATAATAGAAGCCTTTTATCTTTATTTATCTCTCAACCTTTATTATACATCCACTGTACACATAATATTATCGAATGATATTACATTTTATTGATATTAAATTAATCTGTCCATTTAATATTTACATTGTACAACTGACTATCTAATTATTAAAACACTTTTTAAAATTTTTTATTATATTCTATTATTTGAATTCACAAACAACAAAGTACAAGGTGTGCTCTGCCAATTAAGTATTAGAACCATTTTAGCTTCTCATGAAATTTATCTTTCATTTCTTTTCAATATAAAATGCGATTTATTTTTTATCATTTTGAAACTGAATAGTAAGCGAAGAATGTTAAGTTTATCACTAAGTATCAGTTATGAAATTATATTTAGTACAAGTACAAGATTTTTTTTATTTTGTTTTTTTTTTTTTATATACATACAAATTACAAATATAATACAACATTTAATAAGCCAGTAAATACAAAGAATTATCATTTTTTTAATCTATTGCAATTAATTCATTCTAACGAACATAATTTAGAATCAGCGATCATCACTTCTTATCGCTGACATTGTTTATCAATTCGCAAATTGAAAAAAAAAAACAAAAAAAAAAAAGAGGTAAAATTAAAAAAATAATTAACGCGAACCAACAAGCTTGAAGTATACTTTTTCGTAAAATGGAAACTACAATCTTTTTCCCTCAAAATTCAAAATTCACCCAGAGTAAGGAAGGGTCTGTATTGTTTATGTAACTGTTTAGGGCTGAACCGACTGGGGGGTCAAAGATATCGTCACAACGTAAGTGGAGGGTTGGCAGAGCCTCCGAGTAAGTAAAAAAGTAAAATCTAAAATGTCAATTACCTTGAAATTTCTTTCTAAAAGATATTTTTTCTATAACAACTGCAAAAAATTCATTTAGAATATTCATTTAATTTTTTTACAATAATTGTTTATATCATTAAACTAACGTCAGTATTGATTTATTTATTAATCGTCCATCATCGAAGTATTAATTTCATATTATATAAGTACATTAATTAACAAAGTCAATTAGTAACATATTAACAATTGTGTACATTACTTATTAAGTAATAATAATTATTTAATGGGTGGAATAGAGTACTCAAGGACGAAGTAATTTTAATTTTTTTTTTTTTTTTTTTTTTTATTCTATGAATGAATTGAATAATAAAATTGTATTTATTTATCGTTATTTTAAGAACAGCTTATTGATTTTCTCCTAGATAATCATTATTTTAGGCATAGATTTTTTTATGTTTATTTATTTATAAATTAAAATACCTCCAAAATATTTTATTAATACTTTTCAATAGCGAAGCGACATTACGTCTATTAATTATAATTCTCAATTTTCTTCGTAAGATTGGCCTATGTGATTTGTGATGTTTTACCGATTTAAAAAAAAAAATCAAATTTTGTATCTCTTCTTACCTGCATTATTCTAAGTTATGATGGTTGCATAACATAATGCAAGGCAAAATGTTGATTACAATGTTATAGATCGAAGCCTTCAAGTAGAACGCATATTTGAAAAAGACTATATACCTTCATTCTATTATGTAATTAATTTTCTCTCTCTCTCTCTCTCTCTTTCTCTCTCTCTCTCTCTCTATTTATGAAAGTGACACACGAGAATTTTATATATTTATAATGCTTATTACTAGATAAGCAGCTAATTTAAAAATAAAATAGTTACTTAACATAAATTCAATATCTTTTTGTAGTTTAAATTTGTAAAACATATAGTACATACAGTTTTTACACGAAAATTTCAATTGACAAATACTTAAGCGTATGAAATACTTTACTTTTTAATTGCAATTGCAAGACCAAAATACGAATAAATAATCGAAGAGAGTCAAATATTGTGTCTTTTACTACAATTTGATTTATGATGAAATACAATGAATGGAATGCCATTATTTTTATGTATTTTATTTAATGTTAGATTTTTTTTGGTAATTGTAGTCGAGTTATAGGCATTAGAGCGCAAGGCACTTTATATTTTTCGTATACACATGCACAATATCATATAAAATTATGTTTTATTTTCTATTGTTTGCTTGTATTCGCGACAAAAATTTGCTATAATAATTGCTGCCCATAGTGGTGGTGCAAATTAGTAATTGTGCCTAGAACTATAGACATAAGAAACATGAAAGATATTAATGAAGTAAATAAATATAAACAATTTGGCATTGGCACTAGTGAAGAACGGATGCTAACAATTTTATTTAGCAATACTTGGTATCATAATTTTTCATGCGATTCCATATGGGACCTACTTTAATAAACGTATATATGGATAAAAGCGAGTGATAAACATTTTTCGAGCTTTCAAAATATCATATTGATAATACAACGCATTGATAATCAAATTGAAAACGAATTAATTACTTTGACAATTTTTGTTTATGTGGACCAAATCAAAGCTTATGAAAGATTAAATTATTATCCTCGGTTTAGGAACCCAGGTGAAGTGTCTCACACTTGTCGAGGCACAATATACTTACATGGGGCCTTCATCTACTCAATAGATGTATGCACTTTTGTGGTGAGCAACGGAGGTACACAAACTTTTCACATAAAAGCTGCTAGTGAGGTGGAACGACAAGAATGGGTCACTGCACTAGAGTTAGCCAAGGCTAAGGCTATTCAAGCCATGGAATCAGGTAAATACTTTATTCGTCTATTTTTACATTGACAAAGTGGAAATATACAAATTTATTTTTAATAGTTATATATAGTGTATTTGCAGGCTTATGCTATTCGTAAAATAAGAAAACAGTTACGAGGATTGAAAGTATTTTACTTAATAAATCAGATTTTTTATATCATTAATAACATTATAATTAATCAATATTGTGTTTTTAGTGTGAGTACATACAATAATTAATTTTTATTTTTCAATTCAATCAGTATATCATATTTATTAGAAGATGTAAACTAATCGAATTAACAGAAATACTCATTTGACATATTTCAATACAAGTCATATATCATTCAAACTAATATGATAAAATTATTAGAATGCATTGGCAAATCAGTATTGTAATACTGCATGAATTTTCATCAATATAAATTAATATTTGATAGTTGAGATGGTTTATTATTGTATGGCATTGACTAATCGAAATGAAAAGGTATAAATGGCATTAATCTTAACAGAATAGTTAAAACCAAAAAAAAAGAAAAAAAAATCTGAATTCAATTTTTATTTTTCCAAATAATATAAATAATATTTGTTCAAAAAATTGTTTATAAAGTTTTTATACCTAGCGCTCGATTAGATTTAATGAAAATTATTTAAATATTAACGTGTAAACAGTAACTTGTATATCCACACGATAAACTCAATTATTTTTGGTCAATAATCAAATTGCTGGGAAAAGGCAAAATTACCTAATAATTAATATTATTTTATTTACATCAGAGGAAGACGAGGAGGAGTATCAGGACAATGACAATCAAAAAAATGATAATGCTTCGACGATGAAGGATCTGGCAGAGAAGCTCGAGACGGTACAGAAATGTAATGAGATTTTGACGAAAACGGGGACGATGTTTCAGCGGGCCCTTGGCGAATTGGAGTCGCTGGCATTTATTATTCCGGAATTGTCGCTTAAAATAAAAGCTGTTAACGAAAAGGCAATGCAGTTTCGAGTCACCGCCAATACTATGATCACAGTAATTATTTCTTACGTAAACGTTTTACAATTTTGACTTGCGTCAAAGACAAAAAAAAAAAACAACAACAACAACAACAACAACAATTCACATGAATCGGCAGAGCATGTGTACTTACGATTTGTAATTATCTGGGCGTTTATTCTTAAATTTATTTGTAACGTAAAATTTAGATTTGTAAACAGATTTTTCAGTCAAGTTATAAAAGCGATGGCACATTTTATAATGATAATTAAAAAATAATGCTAAATAGGAATAAAAGTTAATTAAAAGAATAGTGCTTCTCGAAATTGTTTGCTAATTAATCGATATTATTTATTATATGTGAAAATTTGGAAAAAATAATAAATACATAATTGTAATTGACATATACAGATAGTATTTTTTTTTTTTTTAAAGATCAGAAAGCACCGGAGTGTCGAAAGATAAATTGTAAACATTATATTAACAAAACTATTTGCTGAAAATTACAGGAATATTTCTTGAGAAGTAATTTTTAATTCAGAAATATGTATTTAAATTTGTCCATGCTCTTAGAATGATCGAATAAATTTACTATTATAATTGATTATCATAGTTTCGTTTAACGCTTGATAACATTAAAAAAATACGTTATTTAATATAACCGTTCAACTTAGGAAAATTTGCAGAGAGTATTTAAAAAAATCCTTATTAGAACGCTTTTAGTTTAATTAATTTAATAAATTTTGAAAATGTTAATTATACGTACGTCAATACAACACTTTGTTTATGATGTACTAATTTACGAATAATTAAATAATTTCGTATAAATATTTCCGATTATAAAAATACGAATGTTTGTATTAAAAATACATTGTTTTTACCTCGCGCTAATATTTATGAGTATGCATCGATCTACAAGTATAGAATCTACAAGTGCAAAATGAATTTTCTCAATTGTTAATTAAAAATAATTTTATGTTCAGTCTAAATTTATGAATTTTTAAAAAGAATATTTCTCATTTAGTTTGATATAATAATTATTAATATGGATATAAATTTTTATTTTCGACATACCACCCTGAATTTAGAAGTATTCTATAAAAAATAACTAAGTATTCGATTTATTTGATTAATTGAATTATTGATTATCGGTCGTTCAAGAGGGTGCTCCCAGTGTACAAAGATTATATGAAAATACTTTTCTAAACTCTGCGACTCATTGAATAAATAATAATTTCTTTACCAATCGAGCTTAAATAAAGCATATTTATGATTCAATCAGTTTAGCACGGTGACGGTATGCTAATAAGAGATTTCAATTAAAAAAAAATTCGAGATTTGTACAGAAAAGCAAATATTATTGCCAATTCTACAATATTTCACCTTGTAAAGCTACAAGGAAATATTCTATCGTTTTGAAAAGTGTAATTGTAAAATAAATTTAATTTTAAAGTCTTCGTTTAAAATTTTGTTTACATTTAAAAAAAAAAATCCATTTACAATTGTAATTACGCGAAAGTATTAAAGCAATTATTATTTGATTAATTAAATAGTTTATGGTCGATGTGTCATTATTTAATAAAGGTTAAGCGTACGTATTCCTTCAATTAAATTATCCACTGATTTGCACATGTGATCGAAAGCACATAAATTTATGGACTTTTGTGATATTATAAAGGCCCATAAATTTGTAAAACAAACTGCTAAATTACGATAATTTAGCAGTCTTATATCTAGTCACCTCGCAATGTCCCTATTCGTTTTCGTATCAAATTGATTGAACTACCATGTAAACACCAACTTCTAATACCAAAAAAAATCTCATTATAATAAGCATGAAATGAAAATCGAGCTGCCCAAGCAACGTATTAACGTGAAAAACTTTGCCTTTCAAGTCGAGCGCCGTCTACTTGCAACTGGCTCAGCAGCAGGAACCTAAGTGGAAGAAGATGCTACAGCACGAGCGCGATCAGAAGGTCCGATTAGAAAAAATGGTGGAGCAACTCGCGCGTCAGCACTCGCACTTGGAGGAGGCGGCACAACATGCGCTACCGCCCCCCGCCCAGGGAGGAGTATACAGGCCTAGCCGTGAGTTTTTATTCGATAGTTATTTATTTGTTTGCCGAGCTTTCATTTATCTTTCCTGGTTAAGGTGGTAGTTCGATTCAACGAGCCATGACAGCCGGAACGATAGAATTTTGAATTTCGATTTTTGAAGATGCGCGACGGCTGCATTTGCATACGTTGCGTAGATGATGGATGTGTCGATAATTATTTTGCCCGCTTTGTTATTTATTTATTATGCTTTTCTTTTTATCCCAGAGTCTTACAAAGAATAACTGATATACAACCAAGAGAAATGGCTATTGGATTTTGAGTTTGGAAATACTAATAAGGAAGGAGGTTACCGAGGCAGAGCTTAACTTTTGGCATTTAGTTTTCTTCAATATTTAATCGAAGTTTTTCATAAGCCTATTTCGAGTATTTAAAATACCATATTTTAATTTTTTTTTTTGTCTTCTTTTTTTTTTTTTTTTTTTTTTTTTTAATATTCAAGTGTATCGGCAAATCTGTCAATATGTTTTTTTTTTTAAATTACTTTCGTTATTTTGCGTTCTTTTGGCAAATGAATTTCATAATTTCAAATTATTGTTAAAATGGGCAAAATGAATGTGAATTGCAATTACTTTTACGGCGAATCACAGAGGCGCGCGAAAGCGAGAGGTGCCTTCAACGGATATTATTTCGCAAAACAGGACATTGATTATCGTATGTTGAAACTTTGGTTAAAAGTAATATTTTATTCTTAGAACTCAATAGGCTCATACAATAATCATAAATAAGCATGTATATTTGTGGTATTTCGTGGGAGTTATAGAGTGCTTTATGAGAAACATCGATTCTATTTATTTAAACAAGTCTATACATTTTATTTACTCGTTTATTCATTACAGAATTATTAGTTTTTCATGTGTAACAACAAAGAGTCGGTTTGAAATTCAATGATTAAAATTGTTCTTCATAAGCAAACACAAAGTTTCACTTTTTATTACAGTATTATTTATTCTATCGTTAAGAATTTTTGGAAAATTCATCTTTCTTATCCTCTTTATATTAAATCTATTAAGTATAAATAATAAATTCTCGCATTAATAATTGAAATGAAAATATTAAGTGCGTGTGAAGAGAAAATAATTTTTATAATTCACTAACTCGTCAAATCAATAGATAGCATAGTTAAATTTTTTTAAAAGATAAAAATGGTTTCGAATAACATCGGCCACGTGTTTGAAAAATGAAAATATCAATAACGCGAAAACATTAAAAGTTTTCTTTCGTTAAAAATTCTTTCTACAAGTATCTTAATCGTTCTTGAAACAATCATCGATACAAACACTTACAGACGCATACAAAAATCGGATAGTTAATTTTCTTTTATACTGACACATATTTGTAGTGCTATCTTCAAGGCTTATTCATTCTCACAACGGCTCTCTTAAGACACAAAAAGTGTGTCCATAGATATACTTATCTCGGAAATCATATATTGAATCATAAGGGCTTCGTTGTCTTCATTACTCATTGTTATAAAATCTCGTGTTTATTCGAGTAGCATTTAATAAATTGCAGAATAATGGCATATTATTTGAAAGACTTGATTAGCTGCATTATAACTTCCTTATTGTTAAACGTGATAAAATATTAATAAGAATATTGTCTATCGATAAAAAATTTTTCATTATAATTAACATAACATTTAGATATAGTAAAATTAGCTACAAAATTATTGTATTTACAAATTTATAATTATAAAAATAGACTTTATTCTGCTTATAGGATTTTTATACAATATTAATATAATTAATCATTAAATTAATATTAATAGATTTTCAATTTTTGACTAATGTATTATTAACAATAGCTAAATTTTAATTTATCTGCATTTTATTACCGTTACATTTACATAAAGTACATTATTTTTGCTATCAATAATAGTGTATCTAGGATCGATATTTAGCATGTTGATTGGGATCGACGATTTTGTAAAAAGGCAGGGCATGGAAGTGAATTATTATTATACATAGGTTTTATATTTTAATGTTCATCCAAGTATTTGGTTTGCAAAGAATTTTAAAGTGTAGATAATTTGTCACTTATAAGTCTTTGGTTGCTTGTAGTTACATGAAATATGTAAATTACACATTATGTAATTGTAATTTATAAATGAACGATTGTGATTAGTTTGCGCTTTTGCCGTTACTTCATAGTGCGACTGTTATTTATGTAAATTTATATAACGAAGTTTAAGTGAACACAATTTAAGCCAAAGAAAGTAAGTAATTTTATTTAATTACTGCTTGGCATCGACATTATATCTAATTTATATTTATGAATAGGTATACCTCTAGGACTTTCAAGTGCTTGGCATACTTATTCAACACATCTAGAACTTGCAAACAAATTTCAACGTTGTTTGCAAATACAGTATCTGCTTTACAATAAGCTGTTTTCTAATTTTTACAATTTTTACACGTCTTTATACATATATTTACAATGAGTTTATAATTATTATTCTCTTCTTTTCACGAGCTTAATTCTCATATTAAAAATATAAATGAACTTTAGAATTGAATACTTTATTGAAACGTCTACGATATTAAGCCAGAATAAACAGTGTTTTAAAAGATCAATTTATTTTAATTCTAATGATCATGGCTTGTAGCTCTTCTCTTGCAGTGCAAATCTACACGTTCGTTCGGCTATTTCGGCGTTAGTTATTCGAAATTTTAAGGTTCACGTTTATCAATATATCGTACGCCATTATTTATCAATATCATTTTAATAAATAACATTTTCGTGAAATTGAAATTTATATTCTAATGTAAAATTTACTACACATTATTCCACATCAGCAATATAGTCGTTTCTTTTATTATTATTACTTTTTTTTTTATCTATTCAAAACAATCTTCCAACACTCGAGAGGAATAGAGAAAATCACAAAGCCAACGATCTATGTCCTTTCGTCATTGCTGTCGCATAGAATAGCACAATTTACAATTAAATAATTATTCATTCGGTATATTCAATTTTTTATCATACGCTAATTTCAATTATTCATGAACTACAATAAAAAGCTACGTTGAATTTAATAAACGACAACCATTGAGCAAATATTCATAAAGATTATTACAAAATTATGAATACTCATAGATGGGGGGGGGCGTATATAAGTGCGTACGTAAGATATAAATACGAAAATTTCAATGTAGCAGTAACAAATAGCAAAGAATATAATATTTCTGTATCACGATAATTTTTAAAAATCTCTACTCAAAGTGTCCTGAGATAGATAGTTTAATTTTTTTTCCTAGATTTATACATCTGTTTTGATAAAATTTTTAAAAATATGTTTCAATATTTTTTTAAACAAACATTATGTTTTACTCGTTCACATTTTTTTTCTTACATCGTTAACCACAAATAAAATTTATGATTTTTTAATTTTACAACAGAGTAAAATATTCATAAAAATTGAATATAAATTTGACAAATATCAAACACTAACATGCGTGCATTGAACGTCAAAGTAATTTATCAACTAAATTTTCTCAAAATTATTAGTATAAAGATTGCACCGTTCGCCACGTAAAAATGCTTAGATCCTTTAATAAGCTAATACGGATGGGAGCACCGACATATTAAATAGGTTACGTCGGTTATTTAAATGATTAATTAGAAATAGGAACTAATGGCGTTGTTCGTCTACCTCCAAGTCGTTCAAAAGATATTATCGCCACGGTCGAGGATCTCGCGATTCGAAAGATATTCGAAAATTCGTAATTTGAGTTTCGCCAGCGCGCATACCAGATGGCGATCGAACGCTTTTCCAATTCTTCTCGCATATCTCTCGCACACACGCATAGACGCACACATCATTAGTGTCGCGATTTGCCTCATCGTCGTCGCAAAATTCACGTTTTCTTTGCCGTTTCTCGGTCTCCGCGGAGTCAACGCGCTCTCGCATTTGGAATTATAAAGGCGCGCACAGGTGTCCTCGCCTCCGTCATCATCTCCCTTTCTCCCCCAACCTCCCGCTAACCTCCCTCTCGCGTATTAACCTTCTTGGCAAGTCCGGTCCAGTACAATCATCTACGAGCGGTAGAATATAATTCTCCTTCTCCTCCGCAGTGTGTATATACTCTTGTATGCACAGTGTAGCCGGACAAGGCCCGAGTCTTCCGAGAGGGAGTCTTTGGGCGTATTTATATGTTAAATTATAGACAACGGCGACGAAACTAGGAGGAGGACGAGTAGCGGGAGGAGGCAGTGGTCGCGGTGGTCACGGTGGTGGTCGTGGTGGTGGTGGTAGTGGTGGTGGTGGTGGTCGTGGTCGTGGTCGTGGGGGTAGTGGTCGTGGTGGTAGTGGTAGTGGCGGTGGTAGTGGCGCTGGTGGTGGTGGTGGTAGCAGCGGTGGCGGTGGCGACGGCAACGGCGACGGCGACGGCGGCGGCGGCGGAGACTTCGACAGTGGCGGAGGAGAAGGCGCCCGTGGGTTCTGCAAAATCATCATCGCGGTTATATTGCCGTTGCCCGTGTGCATATTACTCCTCTTGTGCGGTGCTCGCGCGCGTGCGAGCTTGACATGTGTGCAGTGTCGTTTAGTGTCGCTTAGATCGCGAGCGAGAGCCGAGCTCCTGATTTCGTGTGCCTGCTTTTATCTGCAATCACAGCAATAGTACATGAGGAAGCCTACCGACGACGACATCACAAAAACGTGACGCCCCTGGATCTCCAAGGTTTCTCCTCTCTCTCTCTCTCTCTCGCGCTTCCCCCTCCTCCTTTCTCACTCGTTCCAACTGCCCCTTGTACATCCCACTTCAGTTCTCTGTGTCAACTATCTACATACTTTTCCGTCTTACTTATCTATCTATCTATTCATCTATATCTCGCTCCTAATCTTTCTCTCCCTCTCTCTCTCTCTCTCTCTCTCTCTCTCTCTCTCACTCACTCACTCACTCACTCACTCACTCACTCTGTGCCTGTGTCCTCCCCTCACCTCTCAACTTCCTCTCCCGCGCTTATTCTAGTCCATCTCATTCGTTCTTTCCGACTAGATCCTTGAGGTTTACTGATATGTCAGAAAATAGATTTGCCTTCTTTTATATTCTGTGCTTGTATTCTTTATCTATTTGGATACTTAGGAGAGTGACAACGTAATGAGGCAACTTGTTTTGAAAAAGTTTCGTAGCTGAAGAATTCAAATAGCTCTAAACGATATTTTGTAAATGTTGGAAGATTCCAATTCATAATTCACCACGCGCCTAACTTATCTACGCTTGTGGAACTTTGTTGATCCATTAGAGGAGGTAATATTGTAAGAACTGAAAAAAATGTGCTGATTCATTGAGTGAATTCATAGTTGTAATAGTTAAGAATCAATAGTAGGTTTATCAATTTGTCTATTTTAGACAAAGTATGACAAGTGTGTTAAGTGTTGTTTGAAACAGATTGTAGTTTGGTAAGTCATTTGTTGTAGTTAATTAAAAATCATAAGAAATTAGTCATATGCAGTCAATGGTTTATTACATTGAGGTTCTTCAGAATTTAAATAAATCATGTGATTTGATTGGGCCGCTATTTTATAAATACAATTTCACTTTTATCCACACTTTATCACATTTTCTAATCTTTTCTTTAACTTGCGATTTTATTAATTAATTATTAATAATATATTATTAGGTAATAATTTTTCACAGATTATTAACAGATTACAATTTATAATTTGAATTCAGTAGCTCATTAAATTATTGTCAACTTTTTTCACTAAATATACTAATAAATTGTAACGAAGATTTGGCCAAACTTAAATCACTCTATTAAACATTAAAATCTTTTCTCACAATTTATTTCATGAAATATAAAAATTAATCGAATTTAATTTAATAATTAATTATTTAATTCTTATCTTGCTTGTGTATTATAATTACAATTAAAGAGGGATATTTGTAAAATTTTGTAAATTTTTTTTTTTTAATTATGAATACAAACGTGCAATGGATATTCTTAAATTTTTACATTGTATTTTGATGGAGAGTCGGTGACAGAAATATGCAGTAGAATATCAGCTAAGCAAAAAATTTATTCTTTTGGTGGAGTTCAGGTTGCAGATGCTCTGTTATTTAGAAGTTGCGTATGGCTTGTTCTCTTAATACTTGAATTTTGCTTTAAATATTACAAGCTTCCTTCGCCAGTTTCTTAAATATTATTGTTAATGTCTATAATTATTCACAAGGGTATGCAAATTCATTTGAAATACTAATATTTATAGCAATAGATTCTTTTTGTAAATATATTTAACAAAAATGCAAATGAATTGACATACATTTTACAATTATTCACTATTTGTCTCATTCCCTTCAATTCTTTATCAATTTGTTTTTGGATTTTTTCATTTACATTGAGCAGTTTTTATCTATGCTATTTCTGGTATGGAGGTGCTGATAAGTGTTTTCTTTATATAATGAATAGTAGATTTTTTCTGCCCCCCCCCCTCCCCCTCCCCATCCCAACGCCCAAGTATTACTATTTAGTTTGATTTGAAATTGTAATTGGCATAAAATTGAAATGTTCTCACTTATTTCAAGGCATTTATATAAATTAAGCAATGGAATTAAGTGTAACGAATAACGTTTAAGAAAAAATTAACGCGATTAGATGGATGGATTATTATAATATTTTTATAATTCTAACGAACGGCAAATTGAAATGGAATATATTGAAAATAGCCAATCAAATTATAAATAAAGTATCGCTTTATATTTTTACGTATTATTTGAATTTACGTGGTTATCTGAAAGCAGCGCGTTATTCACAGGCAATACACGTTTTTCTCGTTTTCCTTCAACATCTTAATTTGGTGTTTTCCTTGGGCATTCCAACCTGGTTAAGAAAATCTTAACCACACACATTCGTTTATATGCACATTTCGACTAAATTCTATTTGAAAGTGTAAATTACATATTTTCGTATGTCTACCTAATGGAATGCGATAAATTTAATTGAATGATTGATTATCTTGATTCGAGTGTGTAATAATTTTTATGAAAAGCTATATGGGTAATCAAGAACAACATTAAAAAGTTCGTTGAAAAAAATTTCTTCACATTAAGCGACCTCTTAAAAATATTATAATAATCCATTGGGAGAAAATATTATAAACATTGATAAGCGTTAATCAATTTTAAGGCCCATTTTAAGACCGATACTTTAATAAGCTTGGCATTTGTAATTTATTAATTTACGTCAATGCTGGTTAATGTAAGTTTGATCTTTCCTCGCCAGCACAAGATAATTGTGATAATAATTGCTTTGATAATCCTTTGATAACCTACTTTACGAACAAGAGAAATATTAGTTTCTCGTTTGAATAGAAGTATCCAAAGTACTATCCCAATAAACGCAAGAGTTTTGAAATATTTTGCCTTTGCATTATCATTTGCGCTCTCCTTCTCTCATAATATAAATTCATTGGATTAAGCCTTGTCGTATAAAGTCGGCATACATTTACCCAAGAGTTCGCTCGTAATCGAACGCTGCTTAGTTTACGAAATTAGACAACAAGGCAGGCGCTTTCTTACCGCGTGAGTTCCGACCGACGACGAACCTAAGCAAAGAAGTCGGGCCAAGGGAGTTGGCATTAAGTGTGCTTAAAGATACCGTTTAGACAAAAAAGACGAAAGAAACAATCAAACGACCAATTGTAATAGATGATAGGGAGACGTCGACGAAGGCTTGAGCTAATCGCTCGTGAATTTCAGACACAGCGGCCAACGCATCCCCGAGCGAGGACGACGAGGACAACGCGGAGTTCTACGATGCCCAAGAGTCGGACACGTTCACCCTGAGCGTACCCGCGGAGGGCATAAATTCCTTAGAGCCGGCCGAGCGCAAGCGCAACGACTCCCAGGGCAGCGACGATGGCTCGAGCTCCGAGGGCGACCCGACGCTCCACTCAAGCGCCGAAGCGACCCGCACCGAGTACTATCTCATTGTGACCGATCCCACGGACGCTGTGCCCCAACAGTCCGAAACCACCACCGAACTGGACGGCGTGAGTATTCGCGAGCTTCGATCGCTAATGCGCGACGGGCCGGTCTGCTCAGGAGCGGATGGAACTCTCAATCGAGCCTCCTTACACCCTCGTCCCCATAATTCATGTGTTTTCTGTCATTAACACTTACCGCTAATGATTTTGCTTTGCGCGAATATCTCTCCTCCTCCTCCTCCTCCTCCTCCTCCTCCTCCTCCTCTCTCCCTCCCCCTCACCGCCTTCCCACGCCGCTGTCATCGCCCCCGCCGCTCCCTTTATAAAGAGTCGTGAGAATTTGCGTATTGATTAGAAGCTCGGGAACGTACTCGCAAGTTCAACAGCGTTAATATTTATACGTTTTTGATTCGCCGCCGGGCACATGTGGCACGGGCATTATAATGTGGTATTATTATTATTATTATTATTATTATTATTATTATTATTATTATTATCATTATTATCATTATCATTATTATCATTATTATCATTATTATCATTATTATTTTATTATTGTTATTGTTATTGTTGTTGTTGTTGTTGTTGTTGTTATTATTATTATTATTAGACAGAGCTTCGGGAAAAAATACGGGGCCAATTACACATTGTTAGAAAAACGTGTATTTAGTTAGAGCAATGACGCCTTTCCCAGCCCGATTCCCAACGACATTTAAATGTGTTATTGGTATGTAAAACCAAGTCGTTGTATTGGCTTGGGTAAAACAACGTGTGTTTGCCTTTTACGTAAATCCTTGTACCGTGTCATTTAAATTAGAACCATTTATTTGTTAATGTACATTAAGAGCGGTAGATCTTACGCCGAAGGTCGGCATTGTATATCTACTTCTACGTCTTCTTCGTTTTCTTCTTCTTCTTCTTCTTCTTCTTCTTCTTCTTCTTCTTAAATATCGAGCGAGTGTATTGGTATTTTTGGACTAAACGATCTCTCCTCGGCTCGCTACGCGACGTCACAAATTTTTCCCGCTAGAGACACAAGGGCTTCGATTGTTTCCAATGAACGTGGCATTTGTCGGATAATGAATAAGCGCCTTAATAAGAGGCAAGACCGTCGCGCGCGTTCAAAGTGCCTCCTCGTGGCTCACGTAAATGCAAGCCCATCCTAACTAGCAAAGGCCTCGTTTGTTCTCGATAAAACTAACGGAACGCAGAAGGACTGGAAAACGAATAATGGCAGCAGCGGCAGCTCCGGGTTGAGTAGCGAGCCGTCGAACGCCGTCTCGAAGCGAAAGCGGAGGACGCGCGTACCGGACAAGCCCAACTACCCGCTCAACCTCTGGAGCATAATGAAGAACTGCATTGGGAAGGAGCTGTCCAAGATACCGATGCCGGTCAACTTCTCCGAGCCGCTCAGTATGCTGCAGCGGCTTACCGAGGACTACGAGTACGCCGAGATCCTCGACAGGTGAGTCGGATGAATCGAAGCTTATTGCATTGCAAACGGGAATCCTCTACTTCCGTATGTCTTACCCTCTTACTCGGTCCTTACCCATCAAACATTAAGAAGTTACATTGGCATACAAAAAGCACATTTGTCGCAGAGCTCGTGTATTCTGTAATTTCGTAAACTTCCGTTTAAAGAAGGACGCTGTGATGTGACGAGCGAAGAGCTAACGTTTGCTAACATTGTAGTAAAAAAAAAAACTTGTGGCCTGCTCTTTTGCTATTGCTATTAGATATTTATTACCAAACTATTAGAGAAGTATATCATGTACATGTTATCATCATCGTCGCCACATGTACATCGATTTCATAAAATTAACAATGCGATAGTAGATTTTATCGTCTGGATATCATTGTTAATGCTCTTTCAACCTACTCGACAACGACAATGAGAGAGCGATGATAAGCTTATAATATTGGAATGTTGGAATATAAATAGCTATGCATTGTGAAATTCGACGAGCTCGACATACAATTTTTGTAGTTAACATTATCATCTTTATGATTTAAATCTTAAATTAATTAGAGTATAATGATTTGAACGTGTGCTTTCCCCTAATGAGATATTCCATTCTTCTCCCTCTTTGGTTTTATCGTACTTTTAGTTGTATATGATTGCGTTAACAGGCATATTTGGACTTTTGAAAATTTCAAATTCAATAGTTGGCTTTCGATAGGTCAAGACGTCGATAAACAAAAAACAAACAAACAAACAAACAAACAAACAAACAAACAAACAAACAAACAAACAAAACAAAAAACAAAACAAAAAACAAAACAAAACAAAACAAAACAAAAAGAAAAACAAAAAAAAGAACTATTAAAATAAAATATAGTACGGATAGTCGAAAAATGACAAAAATAGACTTTTATAGCACTGTTTACTTTCGAAGCTCATCATCAAGTTGCAATTTAGTTATCTTAATATAGCGCAATCATTACATATATGGAACAATGAATCGATGCCAAAAAAAAACTCTACGGCAACAAAATTCATAGATTCATAGATTGAAAAAAAAATATTGATACCATAATGTAATGATATAATGCAACACGTGTAATGTTATTTCTTTTTTCCCTAAAAATTTGAAATACCGATGTACAAATTAACCTAAAAAATAAATCCTATATATTATTTGTTTCAATTGAAATGTGTCGGTGTTTGATAAATTTAATTAAACGCTCAGCATATCCTTTAATGGACAATTTAAGATAAAAGTTATAAATAATAGTTAAAAGTCTATAAAAGTATAAAAGTCACGCGTAACGATTCTATTACACGAAATTAGAAATTTTCTAAAAATAGTAATAATTACAAATGCAATGTCTTATCCGCTCTATCCAAAAGTATTTCATTCCTTAAGAAATTTATTGGCAACAATTAGTTAACTTTGTGTTGACAAATTTTGTTCGACTAAATTGTAAACGAAGTATACGATAAACATTTATTCAAACTTCCTAACTTTCTGATTTTCATGTTTACGTGAATTCTCTAATTATTACAATGCACATTTTCTACAATTTAGCACGATCAATTGATTATATTACTTATCATAATAATTATGAACTTGCGAGCAAATGCACAATTTACCTTTAACAATTCTTCAAAGCAATTGCCTTAAGAACGAATGTAAGTTTACATTCAACGAATTTATGCTCGTACCATTAAAGACGACATCAAAGTTCTATTTTCATGCTTCATCTACTGTCCTTATCGCACAAACTTAACAAGCATACAAAGTGTAGTGTCAGCAGCACCGTCACAATCTAAGACACGTGAGCTCTTTTTACAATTCATTTACAATTAGTCGTGTTTTCTTTTTTTTCCCCTTTTTTTTCCCTTATATATATATATATATATATATATATAATTCTATCAAGGTTAACATTCTAATACTACGCTTTGGACATTTAAGCAAAACGAAAAGAGAAAAAAAAAATCAAACATTGTTTATAAAAAGGACGGATATTTGTAAAATAGACAAGTACGATTGTGCCTTTCATAGAGTTTACTAATTATTTTAAGTTTATTATTATTAATATCCTTGGATAATAGCGAAGACGGATGAATGATTCCTGAGGCATTTAGGGAAGGATTTTAAATACAAAATCATTATTTACAAGACTAATTTAGTTTAATTTATAAAATGCTTCAACAATAATATGTGAATTATGTAATGCACGAGTTAAAAATTTGCAAATTTTGAGTCGCCGTAACGTATATTAATTTATAAATTTTTCAAAGTGCAGGATATTTTTGAAAAGATCGTGCATCCAGGAGAATAAAAAAAAATTCTTCAATTTTCATTTTAATCAAAAGTCTCGATATTCAAGCATACATTCTCGAACGTTTAAAAGCTCTATTATATCTTTTCGATAATTATCGAACCTTTTTTCAAGCGATTTTTCTCGACATTGATATTTATAATCATTGTACATTAACAAATGACGTAAAAATAAAATTATTCCTCGACGACTCACTTAATGAATATTTTTAATTAAATAAAAAATACAATAAAATGGCTTTGAGGAGTGAGATTTGTGACAGGCAAATAAGACAAACCGTTCATTTCGTATGCGCTTTGATGTAAAATTTTTTTATGATTATTTCTTCTAAACATACGTATTTTGTCGACAACGAAAATATGTTTGAGTAAAAAGCAATTTTGAACGCTGCATATTCATTAAAAAATTTTACATCAAAGTTATATCGTAATTATATCGTTCCCGACAATTTGAAAAGATCGCACACTTCAATGGCCAGATAAAAGAACTTGAAACATTTCAATTATCATCGCTCTCTCTCTCTCTCTCTCTCTTTCACTTTCAGTTTCTATATTAAAAAAGGAAAAAGAAAGAGCCGATTCGGGACCTTGAAAAAAACAACATATTTCCAAATAAAGAAATTGTATGTCATGCCAAAAAAAAAAATAAAAAAATATAAATAAATATAATAAAGAAAACGAATTTTCCTGATTGATAAGGGACTTGTAGATGTTGCTTTTTCCAATGTTGTATTATCTCGAATAGGCCGTATTAAAAATTCCTTTAATGCTGACGAGGTTTCGAAAGAAAAATTTTCATAATATACAAGAGACGATAATGTAAAGTAGTAGGCAAATCGTAAATGCTTTGATAGATGATAATAACCATTTCTTCGAAAGTTGCAGAATGGCATTTTAGGTAGACGACAGCCAGAGATTCGCTACCAATCACAATGTACTTTCTAGGCAATTCTGGGGTGGGCAATGAAATTTTAGAGAGAGAGAGAGAGAGAGAGAGAGAGAGAGAGTGTGAGAGAGGGGGGGGGAGAGAATGAATATATCGTTAATGAAAGAAATAAAACAATAATAGGGCGGCGGAGTGTACGGATAGTTACGAGCAGATGGCCTACGTTGCGGCGTTCACCGTCTCGAGCTACTCCACCACGGCCTCCCGCACCGGAAAACCTTTCAATCCACTTCTGGGCGAGACGTACGAGTGCGACCGGACCGACGACCTCGGCTGGCGCTCCGTCACCGAGCAGGTATCCCATCATCCGCCGATGGTCGCGCAGTTCTGCGAGGGCAGGAATTGGCGCTGCTGGCAGGAGTTCACCATGGGCTCCAAGTTCCGCGGCAAATACCTACAGGTGAGCTAAAATAGCGTTTGGGTCCCGACGGCCTTTCATCGACGGCTTCGCCGTGCTACGGAGTCATCATTCTTGAGGATGTCTTCTTACTTCGAAACATAGCCAACTCGTGGACGAGAGTGCATTTATCGGCCATTCACGCGCACAGCCACACGAACTGACATACCGCAGTCACGAGGAATTGAAGTAGTAGGCGTTGGCTCAGCTGCCAATACACGTGCATAGGATGAAATTCATGGCTAACTCGACATTAAAAATTGTGCCGGACATTTCTCTCAATTAAAAGCATCGTTGTCGCAACAATCGCGCAGCTTAATCGCATAGACGGGCAAACTTATTTATGAATATTGGAGTGAATTTTCTGCAGAGCTGATGCTCGAGTGATACGATATCTTATACTTAAATTATAAATATCGCTAATAAGAAATGATTATAATACGGCACCGCTTCATTCAACATTAACCCGAGCTTTTATTATATATTAATATCACAACCATTTAACCCCTTTAATCCCTCTTATTGTCACACATGCATTACATGATTTTTATTATCGATGCTACTGCCGTCGTCATCGTTGCTCACGTGTTATTATCAATATTGCCATTGTCATTGTTATTAACAGTGCCCGTAAATGCAGTATATATATAGCTAATTCGAAAGATTATATTTATATAATCGTGATGTCTTATTGATTGTTTTTTTTTTTATATAAGATGGTAAGTTTTTCACGACTACCGAAATTGTGACTTCATTGTTTCGTCGTTGATTATTTAACTTTACTTTGCTGTCATTTATAGTTTGCTTTTGCATCGGTGCACCGCGACAGCTAACCGTTCCAAACAACAGGATAATAAGAATATAGCGAATCATACAGGCACTCGCGTATAATATTTAATTATGAAACACGTAGCGGTAGAGAATTGATTGGAATGAATGCGATCGATATTATATGTTACTTTATTCATTGAATTCGCGCATAATGAGCTTCCATTGTTATCTAACTAACGTAGGGCTATAAAAACATCTCGAGCTGATAAATCATTATGGGGGGGGGGGGTGGATTTAGCTGGATTATAAATAGGGACAACTCGAAATAAATGGTTTCTTAAATATGTTGTCGTCTTGTTTATTCGATGCTTAAATAACCTAATGAAATTTATATTTATTTATTCACGCGGTCTTGCGGATAATGCTAACGGTATGATAGGCGGGGGTGGGGGGGAGGGGGCGTCGTGATCGATAGGCGTTTGCAGTCGGTATAGACATATCATTGTAATTCATTAAAAAAAAAAAAAAAAAAAAAAAAAAACATCAAAATCAATTATACGAAGTAAATGAATCAAGGCAATTACGTGTCTGCCAGTTGCTGATATGTATTAAGCTTCATTACCTTCATTATCCCGTCCACTTCGGAATATTACATCTTATTAGGTGGGATAATTTTACGGTTAAACGGCTAATAAAAAGTATCGATGAAGTTTATAACAATGTGCCTCCTATTGCAAAAGCTTTAATATCTGAAAGACAAAGGCGAAATAAATTGTCGATTGGTCGATTAGGGAAATTGCGAGCGTTGGTCGGGCGACGTGGGATGGAGTGACTTTGCGTTGACCAGGCCAATGCTGAATAAACGTACCGCCCCCCTCTCCTCCTCCTCCTCCTCCTCTTCGCCCCTAATCACTAAAATCGCCATAAACTAAATAATCGAACTGTATTGCCAGGTAATCCCGTTGGGCACGGCGCACCTCGAGTTCAAGACGGGCAATCATCATTATACGTGGCGCAAGGTGACGACGACGGTACACAACATAATCGTTGGTAAGCTGTGGGTCGACCAGAGCGGCGACATGGACATCGTCAACCACAAGCAAGGCATAAAGTGCCATCTCAAATACATACCCTACTCGTACTTCTCCCGCGACAGTCAGCGGAAGGTCAAGGGTGTGGTGATGGACTCGAACAAGGAGGTCAAGTGGGTCGTGCAGGGCAATTGGGATTCGAAGATCGAAATCGCTCCCGTTATAAGTACGTCGGGCACGCCGGACAATCCCGTGTACAAGCCCGGACCTTACACCTGCGCCTGGAAACGGCGCATGCCACCGTGAGTCCGAATGCCCTTATTTACCTTGGTTCCTGGTAGGAGGGCATTCCGTCATTGACCTGTCCTCTCCGACCGTCGGCCACGTACGTCTACTAAGGACGTCGTCTGCGCGATCCGCGAGACCTGACGTCGTGCTGCTCGACGTCGCTTAATGGTCTTTGAGAACGTGATGGCAATTGTTATTCTATCAGCGAAGCGGCGCTCGCGCCTTTCGCAACCGTCCGTTACATCACTTCACCCAAGGCTAATAATTAATTGAATCGAATTGAAATTAAGTCGCATTACGAATAACATTACATGCAACTTCTTATCTTTCGTAACGGTATAGTCAGATATACTACTGTTTTACGTTCGCATTACAACCGTCGGCTGTGTAAATTCATAATAGTGACATTGTGCTTTCGTGAGATTGGTTTCACAGAGAATTTTTTGTAATTTTTTTAATATTTGTAATTTGGGGGATAATCGATACCTCCGATTAATTTTCCTCATTTATTATTCAGCGCGTTTGTTCGACTTATCGTCCCTTCGTCTATCTTCATCGTATAAACTTGGTTGTTATATCTTGCCAACCTGTTCTTTTCTTTTTCTCTATTCGTTTCTTTCTTTCTTTCTTTCTTTCTTTCTTTCTTTTTTTTTGTTTGAGTTGTTTGTTTTTCGTCCCGAGCAATGCAGACTAGCAAGGGAAATGAATATTTTACTATAGCAACAAATAAATCATCATTTTTTTTCTCCTTTACCGATATATTGAATAATAAACCGTTTAATAGACTAGATTGTTCTCTATTAAACGGTTGTGAATATAATAGAAATTTATGATTCAAAAATCGTTTTAGCCAAAATTAAAGGTTCAAATTCTTTTCTATCAAATAGTCATTCGATGCGTAAAATTGTTAAATATTTGTACACACACACACACACACACACACACACATATATATATATATATAATTACGTGTAGTATAAATTAAACTATTAATATGTAATTGTCATTCGTGTAACGCAAGTATAAGTGTCTAGTTTCACGCTATGATTATAATATGAGGACAGCTCGAGCTCAAGAAAGTAGATCGACAGCTCAGTTAACGAAATTCCAATTTTGATTGTCGATCGAGTAAAGTAGAGCCATCAGATATTTGCAATTGCCTCGTCTACGTTCGCCCCCGCCTCGCTCATTCTATAATTTTTTTTTTTTTTTTTATACGTATAACGTTTAAAATATAATTGAGCACAGTATTATACAATATCAACAAGTGAGAAATATTTAAACAAATATCGATTACTATGGTTGAATGCAATTGTATCTATTCATGAAATTAAATATTTTCTTGAATTCATAAGTTGAAGATTTTTTAATAAATAAATGAGTGGTCTTCCTTAAATAAATATAGATAAAAAATTAATTTCAGAAAGTAGAGTGAACACGCATTGAATAATGAAGAAGCTTTGGGCTATTAAACGATTATTTTCATTATGTATATAGTATATAGGATTTAAGAAAAATGAAATAACATTAATTCGATTAAACAATATGTATTATGTATAATATATTATACTATAAAACACTACTTAACGCTTTTATTTGAAAATTAACTAAAAATTTTCTTTCCTGTTAAACACATTTTCGATGCCTTAACTTCTCCTCTCCCTTTTTATTTTACCAAATTTTACCTCCCGTAATTCATGAAATATATTAAAGACCATTACTATCTATTATATCGCCATTTGCTATAATTCGCTAATAATTACGTTTCCTTGTCAATTAATTGCAGAGAAGACTGCGAGAAATATTATTACTTTACGGAATTAGCCTGCCAACTGAATGAGCCGGAAGACGGAATAGCTCCGACGGACTCGCGTCTGAGACCCGATCAAAGATTGATGGAGAATGGATTATGGGACGAGGCGAATACGGAGAAGTTACGACTAGAAGAGAAGCAGAGATCCGTAAGACGAGCACGCGAGAACGATGCAGAGAAATCAGCCTCTGAAGGTGATTGTAGTTTAATTAAATAATCGAGCTTTTTTTTTTTTTTTTTTACCAACTCGGTCTCCCTAATCAATGGTACATTGATTTCAATCATAACAAGAGCGATCGGTATTTATCGATACAGAAAACCAAGCGTCACTAAATGATTTATGATTAACAACAATAACAATAATAATAAACACCAGTCTTTCTAAGTAATTGAAATTTCATTAATTTCTTTGGCAAGTTATTTTTGAATATGAATTTTTAAATAAGCTCTAAACCTTAAATTTAGTAAAAGCTCACTCAAAATCATTGCTAAATCAATAGACAAGGATCTGTATAATTTGCTTAATTTAACATCTGTATTTTAATTTCTCAGGTTTACCTTATTCAGCATATGAGCCTCTGTGGTTCAAGAAACAAGAGGATCCTTACACGGACAGCTTTTGTCATACGTACAACGGCGAGTATTGGAAATGTAAAAGTAAGCAGGATTGGGGACGATGTCCGAACATATTTTAGTTTGCTTACTTTTACTTTAAATAATAATTAACTAGCATTGTTTATTCTTTCGTCATCGGATTCTCGATTCAAACATTAATGAAAAATATTTAAAACGAAAAGCAGTACCTCATCGAGAAAACAATAAGATGTATTTCAAACAAGTCATACTCTGATTTTAATCAAAGAAAGTATAATGCAATTGTATAAAAACAAATAATCTCGCATTGATTTAATTAAAGATTATTTAAGATTAAAAAAAAAAAAAAAAAAAAAAAAAAAAAAAAATTTGAAAAAAGAATTTAGGTACAACACATAATAATATTGAAAATATTTATATATATATATATATATATATATATATATATATGGAGTTTCGATGTTGTTTTTTTCTTTTTTTTTTTTTTACAATAATCGAATTTATTCTCCACTTGCCAAGACTTATAAGTTTCTTTTTTTTACGGTTCTTTATTTCCTGCAAACGGACAAGCAAAATACTAAAGCGTATTTTTTGCACGCTTACATTGTAATTTTTACTTCCAAAAAAATTAAAAGCATAATACAAGGAAGCCTACCTGATTGGGTCGAGTACGCAAGAATTATTTTTATAATACATTAATGGAATACAACCCTGCACAAGTCTGCAGCAATTAATAAGCAGCATGCGCCTCTCTTCTTTTTCAAAGTGCGATTGTCTTTTCCTTCTGTTTCTGATATTCGAATGTTCCAGTGCGCGTTTTATGAAAACAACACATAACCGTATTGGATTTGAAAAACGAACGCATCGAATCTTATAAAGAAGAATTATAATGAATAATGATAGATCCTTAAGCTCGCAAGTTTAAATGTACAGAAGTAATAAATGATGTTGAAGATACCTCTATAAATAAATAGTGTTCGACTTAAAATTGGCGCTAGTGACAACGACAAGCTGTTGCTCTTTGATTTTACTGTGGAACTTTTCTCGTAGGTCGATTAATTTTAGTAGTCAAGCATTACACAAAAAAAAAAAAAAAAAAAAAATCATAATAATAATAATAATAATAAAACAAAAAACGTCGACTTAATGTTTCATCTACATTAATTTTTAAACCCTTAAAGTTCATTAAAACACTTTATTATTGTAATATAATTTTAATAATTTATAAAGTTATTGAGTAGAAGTTCGGCATATTTTTAGAATATTCGAGACAATAATTTTATTATTAAGCTCTGAAAATTGCAGGTACACATATTATAAAACGATTATCGGTTTAGTTTAACGAACGAATGGATTGTGATTACATTTTATGACAAAACCATAATTCAAGGATATTAAAAGAGAACTTCCTTATACTACGATACGATACTACGATATCATGAATTTTTAAACATTAAAAAAAAAAAACTGAAACGATCCTCTCCTAAGGCTGAAAATATCTAAAATATTATCGTGCGTAGCTATGATCTTGGGATTCGACGATGATTTACATTTACAAATGAGAAGCTTCCAGATCTGGCATGTGCTACGTTAACTAATTAAGCGTTGTTAGCCAGATAATGTCAATTTGAATTTGAATATTTCAATCAGCTTTATTTCAATTTTAAGTAATTTTAAGAAATATCAACGATACAAATAAATCATCTTCAACAATTAGCTTATTTATCATGATTTGGAATATTATCATTTTTATATTACGGCGGGTAAATGTAAATAAAAATGGAATGACAAGCTCCCGTGGCAATGTTATAAAATTCAAATAACTCAAAAACAAAAACAAATAATGATAAGACAAGGGGGAGAAAAGGACAAAAAGAAAGTATCGTTTATCGTGGCAGGAATCATAAATAGTCATTTTATATGTATTATTAATTGATTAGATTATTAATCATCGGCAACGAATATAACTTTGGTCATGATTATGTCTTTTTCTTTTAATTTCGATTAATGTACATGTATATTTAATATTTTTAGACTTATTGTATCTAAATGTATGTTTTATTTATTCACATTTATAAAGGTGAAGGTAGGCAGGAAATGTAAAGAGTATTGATGAAGGAACGGTTGAATGCTGCTTTTGTTTAGGCTATTTTACAGATCTATGTCTCTTACTTTTACAGTTGTATTTGTCTTTTTTTTTTGTCTTTTTTTTTTTTAATTTTATTTTATTTTATTTTTTTTTTATACGAACATACTACTTACAATTTAACTGATAATCAGCCTTGTTAAGTACACTGATCCAACGTGGTAAGCTGCTCTCTTTTCGTTTATCGTGCCCTTGGCAACTATTATGTTCTTCGTATCTGTGACGCCTGGACATCCACGATGGATCCATCATGCTACTTACTAAACTTTCTACTGCCCTCGTATATTACAGCCAAACGATAAATAGCAGCTGGAAAAGATTGAAAGTCGAGCTCAACCTTCTCGTATACAGTGGCTTAGAGTCGCATTTTGGAACAGTAGACCTCCAAGATAAAGTGTGTTGCACCAATGAACCGCGGCGAGATCCGTTAAACTACTCACGATTTCTCAGACTTCTCAGATAAAATTCCTTGAGTTGTATCTCAGAATCTGTGCATTCTGTGAATGATTCGAATAATTCGAATATTGGTAATAGAAATCTTGTTGGCGTGACCGACAAGTCCAATTTCGTGGATCAATGATTGCGATCGAACAGCTGGTGATATCTCACACCTTTCGCAAGAGAAGCGCAAGTTTTGCATCGAATCCAGTGACACTTGGCGAAGCATCGATACGTTTATGCCTGGACAACGGACCTCGCGCTTCTTCTCAACCTCACCACGAAAACGTCAGCGACCATCGTCATTACGGGGATACGCAGGTGGTTGGATATTCGAACGATGATAATGATTATTTCCAACGATATAAACAAGTTTCACTGACACGGTGCTTTCACAACCATACGTGCAGGATAACAAGAGTATTATATATTTGTGGCTGAATCGCGAAATGTACTACTCTCGCGATGTACATCCATCCAACCATCTATATATCTCAATGAAATATCTAATAATTCGAGTGATAATTTCGTGCATCAACTGCTGCAATACACTTTATTTTTTTGATACGATGCCGAGTAGCGGGGATCGAAGGTCTACTACTTCAATTTAATTACACTATTAATTACACTATACAATACTGTGGATTCTGAAATGTCCTGGAATATCTCTTTCTATACAAAGACTCGCATTTTATAATAATATCGTCAATCGCAATTAAATTTAACATTAAAACGTATAAATAATTGTAAAGAATCATCAGGCTCCAGCATTTCCACTAAAAATTATTAAAAACAAAACAAAACAAAACAAAAAAAAAAACAATTATTCGTAATACAGTGTGTGTGCGCGCGTGGGAAAGGTGTAGATATATAACGAGGATTACTCGATTTTCAATTTTAAATTAAATGTAATTCCACGCTTATGGCTCAATGAAGAAAAATACTACGCGCATACGTAAAATAGGTCTAAAAATATATAAAATATAAGTAATGGAACTAAGAGAAAAGACACTTATATCCGTTGTAATTATACTTTGAGCATTAAACGGCAATAATAATAAGTGAAATAATTTTCGCTCTAGTTCCCGCGCCTATGTATTCAAGGTCCGGGGCGATTTATATCTTTATATTTCGTAAAAATTGATGTAAATTTTTTTTTTTTAATGTCTTTGTGTAATGATTATTTAACATGTAAGTTCTACATTGCAGCCCAAAAGGAATATTCGGCATGCGTTAATATTTTATTAGACTATATAAAAGGAAATAACGGGGTAGAGATTCAAAACTCAAAATGCTAAACAAATCGACGAAAGCTTTTTTTGTATAATCGAAAATCTTCCGTGTACTGCGCTTCGATTTTCCCCCTCCCCCCTCCTGCCGTCATACTTTATCAATCTCAGTCGTAAAAATCAATCTTCGTTCGGTCGATTCAAAACATCGCACGTTACACTGTAGGTTGGCAATTATTTATTTAAAAAAAAAAACAAAAAAAAAAAATTTGATTTCTACTGCGTGCGCGTATACGGTGATCGAATAGCTTTGAGCGTCTATTAGTTTTTTTTTTTTTTATGCTTCGTTTGGCTTTCTTGCATTGTGGCGCCGGTGCTTAAAACATTGTATTTCAGCTTCTAAAAGTCTCATCTATTTACAAAGTAAAAAATAACAAAAGTACACGCGAAACGTCGCGACGAAACATTAAAGGACAATCGAATTGAAAAGACACGTTGCGTATATGATTTGATAAGTAAAAAGGGGCAATTCGTGCAAAATCTGTCGGGGCGAGTTGCCAAGACTGGCTCCTTAAAACACTAGAACAACGTTTCTCCGATTGGCGTTAGTTTTTTCTAACGAAGCGGGACGACGTAGCTCGTGGAATCTACGGACTAAACTGTTGGTTCGAGATCTCGATCATTGACGAGTCCTCGTGCATATTCATTCAAATGGATAATGCGACAGCCGATGTGTTTTTGTTGGTCAGCGTGATGATTTTGTAATAAGGCTTTTGACACATCTACCTCAAATACGTCCAGTCGATGGGATGTTAGTAGGCACTGCCATGCCATTATCGGGATACCTCGGGGCAACATCGATGGATGAAGAGATAGAGGATATTAAAATCAAATTTCTTCTCGTCATTTAATCATCGCCCATATGGAAAAGCAGCTCAAGTGAACTCATTCGGGTGCTCGTTGTCCATCATTTCTTAATGTGGTACGGTGCGCGAATTTCCCATTAACGAGTCGAGCAAAGACTTTTCACAATGAGTCCACTTTCTTATTATCGTCAAAGTTGTTTATTGGCCTTGCGCACGCATGGCCGTGGCTCGTTTAAGAGACGAGAAGGTTGAATCTAACTTATCGACGTTCAATACCTTCGGAATATACACAAGACTCGATCCTATTCTTTCTCTGTCGAGACTGTCGCAATCTAATCAAGGATTTCAATAGACAGGATTAATGCAAATCCAACTGTTACCAGGAGTGTGGAAAGAAAGACATCGAGAGAGAGAGAGAGAGAGAGAGAGAGAGAGAAATATCGTAATTTGTTGCCGTAGGTAGTTGGGGGGAGACTGGAGTTCGGATTCTACGATCGAGCGTTTGCTCAATGTTTACGGAGTAAATCGTCATATCAATTTAGGGACGAAATTTCCCTTCAATTAGATTGCATTTAAATGCAAATTTAAATAAAATGTGAATACCGACGATAAAATTATTGCTGTTAACAGAAACGATGCACAAAAGTGTCTTTTCTATTCGAAAACTCCTTCCAGGAAGGACACAGTATTCATCTATGTGTGCGCGCGCGAGCTTAATCTCCATGTTGATAGTGGCGAATGGTAAGGTCGCCAAAAAGTAGGTAAATCTGCAAAAGCGGTTGGGGAAGAGAATATTTTTCATGAGATGTTAGATTACCTTGGCAACCAAGAATAGCAGTAGATGATTAGTAGTGCGAGGGACGCGCACCGCACAATCTACGGAACATCTCCTTCGTGACGTCAAAAATACAATTTTAATCAAAAGTAAGCTTCAGGCTTAAGCGACGGTCCTATAAAATACAAAAAAAAAAAAAATAAAAAACAAAAAAAAATCGTGCTCAGCAAATTTCTAAGCGTAGGATGTAAATCTTTAGGCAAAGCGAAGCGTAAAAAAGATTTTTTAGTAGTGTATTAACATATAGTTCTTCGAGGAGAAAAGAAAAAAAATGAAAAAAAAAAATATTCGATAATAATAAATTGTGTGCTACACTCGTGTTAGACGTATCACGAATTGGTAATGTTTTGTATTCATATTTAACAGCACTGGAATGTTTTAATACATTTTTATATAAATATTTTATTTTCTACTGCAAAGTCGGAGTCTTTCCATTATTATTACAAAAACAGATTAAAAAAAAAGATATAAAGGTTAAAAAAAACTAAATTACCGTACTACAACTGAGCTTCCAAACACTTTGTTTAGGAGAGCTTTTTGAGCTTTATAATGGATTATTAAGAATTTTTTCCTTCCCATAAAGTACATTTGTTAATAATAATATATAATATATTTATGCGCGTATATATGAGACATTCTTCGTCAAATGGCGCACCCAACAATTCTTAATAGTAAACGTTTAAGGGAAGAAAATCAAATATACAAATTTTATTTGGTCTCTTTTTACGTATAAAATGCATCGCGTAACGTAGCAATGTTGTATAAATCAAATACTTTGTCAACTCATTAGCATGTAGATAATTGATAGATTTATACGAAATTTAATAAGTAATGAATTCTTTTAGATCTATTGGTAGTTTGTCGACTTTCACTGATTAATTTAGCGAATCAATGCTACGACTGATAATGTAAAGAAAAACGATAAAAATTTTGTGTTAATATTCTGATAGTGTTTTTGCAAATTTGTACTCGAAATAATTTTTATTTATTTTTTATTATTATTATTATTATTATTATTATTATTATTATTATTATTATTTTTAGCACGGAGAACGCTATATGAAATATTTAATATTGTGTATTTATTAAAAATCCACAAGCTTAGATTTAAATGGTAAAGAGTAGTAGTAAGAATTCACGTGGAGAACGTATATTCTTGAGTTACACGATACTTGTGCGTGCGTGCGTGCGTGCGTTCGTGTGTGTGTCTGGGGGGGGGGAGTGACTCAGTCGATAGGATGTCTCAAATATGTCTTGCGATTTATAAATATTAAATATAAACACGTGTGTTGATATTATGTAAGCAAAAACACATTGTATAGGAAGAAATTTATAAGTATAAAGATTGTTTGGATAAATTACGGTGGGAAAAAAAAAAGAAGAACAACAGAGCGTGTGACTTTTGATCTATCAATAATTAAGGCATACGTATGCGAAAAAGCTCATTTTAAAAATATTCGGCACATAATATATTAATAATCGTTGTTGGACAAAACAATCTATCTGTAAGATGAAATGTTTATAAAAATACACCAATATTGTTACATTATGTCTCAGGCTGTATTATAATAATTTTAATAGTTATTAAGAATTTAAAGATTATTATTATCTGTACACACAGTATAGACATCAAATTATTATATGTAATATAATATAATAATTATTAATTTAAAAGAAAAAAGAATAAAAAGAGAGGGGGGAAAAAGAGAAGAAGAAGAAGAAGAAGAAGAAGAAGAAGAAGAAGAAGAAGAAGTTAGAAATGAAAAGAATAGAAGAGAGTAAATAATATAATTTGAAAGATTTGAATTGTCGGTAGATGAAATAGGAATAAAAGGAAATAAACAAATGCAGAAAATATTTTCAAACATTTAAAAACGCTTGTACAATAATATACTGGTTTTATCAATGGATTGAAAAGGATGCATTTCTGCTAAGTGTAAAATAATCTTTCAACGTTTATTGAATTTCAACACGCGCAGCACGCAACGTAATACAACAAAAGTAACAAAGTAACGAGAAAAAATTAACAAAATACAAAAGGAACTCTTGTTCGGAATATTGCTGAACGCTGAATACTTGTGCGTTAAGAAACATGTAAAAATCTGTATTTAATTAATAAAGAATATTGCTGCGTCGAGAGTTCCTAAGATAAAAAAAAAAAAGAAAAACCGTATCCACTGGTCTGTAGTGCCTGTCATTTTATATTAACGAACTAGTAGATTTAATGACAGAAAAAAAATATCATTTATCGTGAGACATTGTAAGTATTGTAATATATTCATTGATTTTTCAATGTAAGCAAGAGAATGAGAGAGAGAGAGAGAGAGAGAGAGAGAGAGAGCGCTTGAAAGTTCGAAAAAGTATGCAAGAAAATTCAAGTTAAGCGAAATTTACGTTAGACAAAGTGTATTATTTATTAATGGAAAAGCGAGAATAGGTGATTTATCAATCGTAACTCGACTTTTATTTTAATACACGATCTGATAAAATATAAATAAGACGAAAACGCGAATAAGTCGTTTGCATAGGATGAAATGGAAATTGTATGCAAAAAGTAAAAATTAAAAATCGTCACCTAATAAAATGATTTTTTTTATTTTACGCCTCAAGTAATTATCAAATCAGGTAAATCAAATTGATGTTTTAGACGCTTACGTTAAAAAATACCTTTCCTTTCCCAATTGTACTGTAAATTTTTATTTAAAAACAATGAATTATTTAATTCTAAACTATAATACAACATAAAATCCTCGATCACTTAATTGTGATTATTATTTACGGATGCCTCGAATTTGATTAAAATCTCTTTCCTCGATAATTATATAATAGAATTCATGGAAGATCGAAAGTGATTTCAAGCATAGGATTCGTATTGAAAATCTTAATAAATAATCATCTTCGATTGCATAAAAATTTATAATTTGAGCGCGACGAAAGCGACATCTATTCGATGAAATTAACAGAGGAATCCTAACCTATTTAACGACTATTTGATGAGTCAACATCATGAGCGTTTGATTAAATTTTTTGTTACGAAACATTGTAAAATATGTTACACGTCTGTGAGTATAAGATACGAATTACGTGAGGGACATTCTTATTCGTGCATTGCTTCTCCAAAGCCTATCTACATTTAAGCAATTTTCTAAATTTTATTTTATAGTGGCAGATAAGAATCTTTATCAGTTTTACACAATATTTTACGTGCTTGGACGATTGAGATAGACATTATGGTGTGTGTACCTTGTGTCATAGTCCCTATTTTGCTGATAATATTCAGATTCGTCATTCAACCGATTTTAACGAAATTTTGGTACAGAGGGAATAAAAATGAAGGAGAAAAAAAAGAATCACCGGAGCTGGTGAGAAATTGTAATAACGGTGCGTGCACTTTGTCATGGAAGTCAAACAAATCGGAGCCAACAAAAAGTGATTAACACTCATTATTAATTGTTATTAATAAAATAAGTATTGTTTTAGATATTGTTGCTATGACAGCAGATTTTAAAAATTAAAATATTTCACAGTCACAATTGTGAATTTTTCCATGCCTTTGAGCGAGATATTAAATTTTTTTTTTACATAAATTTCTCTCTATGACCAAAATACGTTCCAACATTCATCAAGCGTTTCGTTAAAAATTAGATAAGATAGATGTACGCCTGCCGCTGTTCCTTCCTTAAAACTGCGATTTTCTTAAATTTCTATTTTGTTAATTAAACAAATAATTACCAATAAAAGATATAAGTTTTACATCAATTTTATTTATAAACAGTTCTTTACAAAATTACTCATTTCTTTAACTTTATAAGTGACACAGTCATTCTTACGTTTTAAGAGTGAAAAATCTCTTCTAAAATAAGTGGAAAGAGCTTATAGAGCGATATAAAATCAACGTATGAACATATTTCTGTACAGTCTCGTTTTCTGCTCAGTGTATCTCTATAGTACTGAAATAATGAAAAAATATATATTTTTAAGTCGTCTCGTATAAAATTATTTTCTCAGAAAAATACTGTATAGAACGATAACTGTCTTATGATATAATTGTAAATGTAAAATCCTTTTCTTAAAAACATTTGTTCGATATTTTTAAGAAACTCCTGCCTAAAGCATATAATGTAGTAGTCGGAACGGCAGCATTATCTTCAGTGAATTGCTTTAAGTTCGATTTCAAAGTTCAACGTGCTATTTCCTGGTATAACTGGAGGCGAACCCTTAGCACCGTATCTATAAAAATATTTATTCTCTTTGTAATTATCGATCGATTCATCGTGCACGAGAGTTATAATGTAGTATCTTATAAACGACGCTCGCGTACTCGCCAATCGACGTAAATAAGCGAGCGAATACTTTAGATCATTGTGGCTTTAATGGCGTTTATTTTTTACCAAAAATTCAATATCATAGTTTAGCTTAATTTAGAATTCAAACAAACATTATCGTTTGCACTCTCGTTATTGTCAAATTGTATGGATTATGAATTTAAAGGATGAGAAAATAAAGCAGAAAAAAAAAATAGCTACGCAATTGTTAAAGACTTACGCCATATTTGGTGGAATTGTAAGACGTCTCTTGCCTCCTACTTTCATTCCGGTAACACCAACGTCCCATCCTTTGATTACCTCACCCTTTCCAAGCCTGAACTTGAAGCCCTCGCCTTGCTGCGTCTGATCGAATTTCTTGCCATTTTTCAGTCTACCAATATAATATACGGACACGAATTTTCCTGATTTCGCCGGCGCGCCATTGCCAACCTTGATATCCTCTACCTGAACTCCGCCTTCGATCGTTCTTTTTTGCTGCTGCTGCTCCGACTTATCTTCCATTTTACTTTCTTCTTTATTCTTCTTTTGTTTGCCCTGCTCCCTTTCAGATTTTGCATCTTTACCGTTGGTTAATTTATTCTTATCCTTTTTATTCTGTTGCTGATTATTTTGCTGATTTTGTCTCTGCTGGTTCTGTTGGTTTTGCAATTTCTGCTGATTCGACTGATTCTGCTGGTTCTGTTTCTGTTTTTGCTTCTTCGAGGGCTTCACAGGCGTCTCTATCTCATCCTCGTCCTCATCCTCCTCGTCGCTCTCATCCTCATCCATATCCTCTTCCTCGCTATCCAGATCGTCGTCCGAATCATCCTCGAGTACCCCATCCTCGTTATCAGAGTCCGACTCATCGTCGTCATCATCATCGTCTTCGTCCTCCGCTACTTTTGACGTTTTGGATTGCTTAACGTCGTTCTGCTCAATCGGCGAGTTCGATGCTTTTCTCTTTTTTCCGCCCACAAGTTTTGGAATGTCTTCATCATCCTCTTCCTCGAAATCGTCCATCTCATCCAATTCTTCCTCCTCGGTGATCAAATACCCGGTAAGATGAACATGACCGTCTCCGTTAAACGTGAAGCCAATTTTTGTTCCCTCTTGGAAATTCAGATCTAAGGGTACTTGCCAGATCGAATTCTTTTGTAACGTACACAGTAAGTAATTGCGTTTGTCGTAGCAAACCATCACTTGAACCAAACAGTCACCTAAAATGCACAGTTAAGAAGACATTTTTCTTTCTTAAAAAACCCGACGCAAGGTTACTTATTTAACAGTCAGGCCGACGCCAATCGTATACTAAGAATTATGTGTGTAACGCAGTAAAATATTGCAGCGCAAAAAGGATCTTTATCAAGCAAATTCGTTACTTTACTTTCGTCGAAAGGATCGTCGAATCATCCAATGTATTATCGGAAAAACTATATGTAAAGAGCTTTTAAATGTGCAAGCACCACCCCCTCCCCATGTATGGGCCAATCAATCACAACAGCAGCGTATCTCAATCAATTCAAGGCGGGATTTTAAACGGTTAAACCAAGGCCAAAGGGACTCTAGGAGAAGAAAAAAAAGACAAGAAAAAAAAAACAAAAAAAAACAAAAAAAAAACAAAAAAAACAAAAACAAAAACAAAAAAAAGGAACAAAGAGAAATAAAAGCTGCCTAGCTAATGATAAGTTTGCCTTTAAAGTTTGAATTATAAGGGCTGTAAATGTTTGTTTCGAGGATCGAGATCGTTGAGACGCGTCGAGCTTTAATATCCAACGTTCGTTTACCTTTCGCAGCCCATGCTCATCCGACCCAAGAAATAATTCTCGTTATTTTCATCAACGAGAAGATTCATACGAGAAAAGTCGATTCCACTCTCCCCATAACGTAGCAGTCACTCGTGCGACAGTATTCGCGTTCTACGAGGGCGATCCCGTCGAAGGCCAGACACAAGCCGAGGAAGGAAATTCAAAACTATAAGCAAGTCGCCGCAGAGTCGCGCTATGACTTACTTGACATGGTAGCATCTAAGCTAGCCATCGACAGGTGAAAGGCTCTCTCCACGGTTTGCATGTACCGCTTGTTTGGTTGCATTATTAGTCCTGGAAAAGGCAAGAAAAGTCATTGGGATAAGATGAAGGAAGCGAGGCTCGAGAATTAGAATGGCTAACGGCCATCCGGATCATCCAATCTCCACATGGTCCGTCCGCCATTCTACACGTGGTCCAAACGTCTTTGGCGGCTCTTTTCGCCGGGCAGACCTCTTTCGCGCCCGCGCAACTTACCCCAAAACATCTTGCCGGTCAATTAATTTGCTTCCCGACGGCTCGCGAAACACAATCGACAGCAACACCGACGTCCCAGTCGCACCTTAGCAGGGCCTCGAGGGCAACGAAGCAACAAGCACCTTCGGGATTCCGAGCCGGGTGGTGGTGGACGATACGCTGGAGGTTAGGCCAGCGCTCCACAATCTGGATATCAAATATCGAATGAGCCGAGCCGTGGAGCGCAGTGCTGCCGCTGCCTTTGCCGCTGTCGATGTTGCCTACGAGAGTCGCCGCTAGTGGCTGGGACGGAGGGGTTAGAAGCTTTACCCGGCAATCGCTATCCGTCCGTTTTCCTCTTCCTACTTCCTGTAATACCCGACTCGTTAATTGACGATGGGAGTCGCGCGCTCGTGTCTTACCCGACGAAGTCGACTTCTCGCTCTCTCTCTCTCTCTCTCTCTCTCTCTCTCTCCTCCGTGTCTCTTCGACAAACGATCGAAAGAGGCTGGTGTTGGCGGTCTATCCTATCGAGTTCCTTGCCCATCGCGGCACTTCGTTATATTCCCACAGGACTTTTGCTTTTCTTTTCGTGGCTCATGGGGCGGGCGGGCGGGCGGGGGGGGGGATAATCCAAAAGCCCAATTGACAATTTAATTTAAAGGGCGCGCAACGATGGGAGTGAATTGGTTATTGGGCGGAGGTGCGCGTCATTGCGACATTACGCGAACGTAATAAACGTAATCCTCGACCTCCGATCGAATACCGAATCGTCGTTATCATAGGTATCGTAGGTATTGTTTTTGCCGTTTTTAATATGCGTTGATAAGCCGCCTCTATGGTGTTGATTTTAGGTTATTCGTATTTTAGATTAAACGTCGCTGTGTTTAGCCAGTGGCGATTGAATGTCCCCGGGACTCCCGACGGTGCGCAAACGTAAAATTTCCATTAAAAATTGCCGCGCTCGGCGCAACGTTTTCTGGACAAAATTTTCAAATTCCGGACGAGTGAGCCGATCGAGCCTGCACGAGTGTTGGATAGAGAGAGAGAGAGAGAGAGAGAGAGAGAGAGAGCGAGTGATAATCGACTTTTGGTCCCTCGTCGACGCCCAGTTTAACAACAATAAAGAGCGAATTGTCATTTCTAGTCCCATTAAACAAAGAGGAAAAAATACTTATAATATACATACACACGCACGTTGTAAAATGAGTGGTTCGTGGTTGTCCATTGACGAGCGGTAAATATGGTTTTTATTTTGGCCTATCTTGATAAATGTGTTTATGGCTTTGATTCAGGGCCATGTTTTATAAATGTGAACCCTGGTACATTTTGTGCAGCGTGCAACATTAATATCCTTCCGAGCCTTTATTATTATTATGTCATAAGTAGATCAAAGGATTTTATTTAGTTAAATCGCTACAGCTTTTACCATTTTGTACGGGTAGTAACGAATGCAAAAATTCAATTTATGGGTAATTTTAATTCTTTTAATTGACAAAATGGGCTTATCCATTAATCGCTTGACATTCCCATCCACAGGGTTCTAATTTATAAGATTTACTTTATTTATACACGATGCCTCTGTGAAACTAAAATTCTTACATTGTCCTTTTGTCGTTAAGCATGAAGCGAGGATTTGAAATTCTGGATAAAATAGAAAACAGCAAACTTCGCCTTCTCGTCAATAGAATCTGCCAGAGTCTGCAGTCCGGAGTCAGCAAGAATATCTTTAACACCGAGGAAGAAGAGAAGCTTCTAGTTTCTTTAAATCTAGAGAAGGTCGATCTGACTATTTTATTACAAACGATAACCTCCGTGTACAGTCAAGCGTCCTTCCATCTTGTCAAATCAGCTGCTCTAGAAAATACCATGAAGGAACATTGTTCGATCGGTAAGGATAAAGTTGCCATTCTCGAGCACGCTTGGATTACCCATTCCGAGGGAATCGTTAATGCCTTCAAGCGTCAATCGATCTTCCCTACGCAAGTAATAACAGCCAAAATATCCATTGCTTTAAAAAATTTCAATCTTTATTTCAAACGAGTGTCGCATTTATCGACAATTATTATGTGATTGGCTACTAGGTGACGGACATAAGTTGGAGCGTCGACGTAAAGGCTGCTTCGACCGCTACGGCGAAGGAGGCCAAGCCAATCGCCAAACTTCAGCTAAATTTAGGCGGTCTTGAGAATTCCAGAGTCACCGTGGAAATGAACAAAACAGATTTGTGGAATCTCTTTCACAAGCTGGATGACATTCAATCGCAATTGGAGTCATTGAAGTGGGTCCCATCGTCCATTCTACTTTGATAATTAAGAAATTACAATTAAGACAAAGTCCTTGTTAGGGCGGCCCTCGAACTTTGTTACATTTTTCATAATTTGTGTTAATTTGTGCATCGCCCTTAACGATCTCACACCTATTTTCACGTTCTTTATTCTCACAAGTATCATGAAATTTACAGAAATTTTAAAGGAGGTTCGGTGCCCAGATACAAAAATATTCTGTACTCTCTGTATCGCAGCTCAGTAACCGAGCATCGAACAATCTTTCGTTGTTACGAGTGCTCGCAGTTAAGGTAATACAAAGTCTGCGAGTAATCGATAAAAATAACAAGGTCGTTGATAAATCGCATGGCACCGAACCTGCCAAACAATTGGCCCTTCTACATACAATTTTGTGACATTTTTCTTTATTTCAGAAAGTAAAAGTAAGCTGACATTCCATTACTCGTGCACGCAGAGTAACTCTCGGAGCATCTACATTATTTTGATGCCCTCGTTCGTCCTTGGCGTCGCGTAACCTCCTTTGCCAACGCGATCATACAAACGTGGACTACGATTGGGCAGGACGCTGCGAATATTGTCCGCAGGCAAGAGAAACTTTGGATTGGTATGGCTGAGGTCGATTGCCGGGATCCTATCGACTTGTCGGCTATCGCTGTCCATGTTTCTCTTCGTCTCACTCGGCGGCAACGTCTCGAGGAAAGCTGGTATCCTGCGGTCGCAGAGCCGCGTTTTGTACACAACCATCACGACGACCGCTATTAGGAGGAAAAGAACCGACGATGTAATTGCACCAACCAACCAGCTGAGCTGCTGATCTGTAATCGTGAGGTTGAGGTAATGAGCGACGAGAATGGAATATTTATGGAATACTGCCTTTGACATAAATGACGTGCAGTCGGGTCAGTGCTCCCTTACAAGATCAGTCATTTACAAGATACATACATACATACATATACATACACACACATATATATATATATATATATATATATATATATATGTATGTATATAAGACTCGTAAGCTGACATTCGAATTCATTTGGCAGTAGTAGATTTATATCGTAAGGAAATTAAGAAATATTCTTTCAACTTTTGTATAATCGCGTGTATATTTGTACAAAAAATTATGCGAAAATGTGCAATACTTTTTTTTTTTTTTTTATATATACACTAGGGTGTGATTTATGTAAATATTTTTCAATACGTAATATCGCCAGACATGAAATAAAAATATCAATAATATTAATAATAATGTAATGTTGTTTTTAGCTTTTTATCGGTCATTCGACAGAATGAAAATATAAAAACCAATATTTTTTAACGGTCTATTTGTAAAGACAATTTATTTGACTTTATTAAATAAATAATATTGTCAAGACCTCTTCTATCGCGCGACAATTAACATAACTTCCCGTTGGAGCGTGAATTAAAAGGTTTTTTATTTCCTTTGCTATGATTATTATTATTATTGTTGTTGTTGTTGTTGTTGTTGTTAATTATTGTTAATTATTGTTATTGTTATTACTAGTTGTTGTAGAAAGATATGGATTATATTTGATATTAAGTAATTGATAAACATTTTCCATAAATTTCAATACAAAAATTCATGGACAGGAAGGGCATGAAGGACAGGACGACAAATTCCTCATGGCTCGCTTCCTTCCTTGCTCGCTCGCTCTTATAAACAAACAGCCCTTATAACTTAAAGCTTTGTAATAAGAAGACGAATTTATAAATAAATTACGAACCAGGCGAATTGTTTAGCAGCAAAATCGAGGCATTACCAAGCTTCGCCTGCACCTGCGGACTATCGATGACAAATTCGCAAATCCACTCTCCGAAATCTTGTTCATCTGGTGTGAATTGAAGTCTACATATACCAGAGGTATGATTCATCGATACCGTGTATCTAAAAATATAATCAATAAATTTCAATAATCACAGCATAATGCCGTAAGAGCACTCGTTACTCGCCAAATAAGGACCCGTAAGGTTTATTGCATTTGTATTTGACCAACGATCTATACGCCGTCATTGTTGCTCATTAATCTTAGATAACAAAACAAAACTAAACAAAATAAAAAAAGAATAAAAAACGAAAACAAAAACTTTTTTTCATCGACATTATTGACGTTAAAGTTAAATTTGAATAAACATTGTCGCGCGATAGGACGATTAGTTATAGATTTGCCGCGAGTCTTACTTAGTTTTTCTCGATGGTTTTGGAGCATCGGACAGTAGAGACTTTAGGTTGTGCGACCAGATGCATTGGCTTTGAAAGACAAGGAGGGCCGTATTTGCCGTTTTGCAGGCCAAATTCACCATCTGATGTGGCGCACCCCAGAACGTTATTGTTACTGGTTCTGTAAATGTGTTCAGTGCATCGTTTAATTATAATTAAGCGCTCGTCGTTTCTCCAATTGTAAGACGACGAGCGTTCGATATGACAATCCCAGTCACCAGATGGAACGAACTTCTTCTCACAGTGAACAATACAATCGATGTCAATAAAGCTGAAGCGTAAATGATGCATTTCATTATGAAATACGGAGGAGTCGATGATGCGTAGGAACGGCGAATAGAACGAGAGTGTAAATCATTCATCATGTTTCCAAGAGTAAGGCACTCTTTTATTCCCCCTCCCCCTCTCCATCCCCCTCTCCATCCCCCTCTCCATACCCCTTCTCTCTCTCTCTCTCTCTCTCTCTCTCTCTCATTAAATTTTCATTTTTCACTTTTGTGCTCTATGGCTTGAAAGGGGCACTCTCATTATTCTAAGTTTTCGTAAATATGCATTTTGCTAGATGCAACATTCAATGTCTTACTAATGTCATTGATGATCATTTAAATGTATGCTGCTTATTGTATAAAAATTCGGCCAATAATTATTCTCTCTTGCTTGTCTAATGCAGTAATTCTATGACATTGATTATAAATAATTGATAAATTGTTGAAATCCTCATTGCGTGGAATTTGAATTTAATTTCAATCCTATAAGTCATTTATTATTTTAAATGATAGCTCATTTGGAAGTAATAAATTTAATATCCGATCAATGTTTAAATGCATACGATCGATAATTAATTAATTTAACATTTTACTGCTGTTGTTATTATTATTATTATTATATTTATGCGAAATGAATTGGACAAAGTGTGGAAAATGTAAATTTTCCTGCGTCCAAAAAGAACGCAAGTCTAAAAAGAAATATCATGTACGAAAACGGCATAAAGAGGTGAAAGTTCTGCTGACGCTGATGATTGTGCTTAACATAAAAATAACACAAAGAAGGAACAAGTAGGTTGATGCGTGATTAAAAGTATAATTTTATTTTCATTCTTTTTTTTTTATTAAATTTCTCACTCTCTCTCTCTCTCTCTCTCTCTCTCTCATCCCACTTTAGAATTTTCTATTATTTTACAAGAGACACGACTAATAAAGCTACACGTAAGCACAGCAGCAAACTTTGACAGCAAAAAAATATCTCTGCAATGTACCAATATTAGCGGTGTATATGCCTATGCAGGTGATAACGACCAATCAATGTATGTTTATGATCAATTTTTGATTCATTGTTTCTTGGTTCTTCATCGAGATGAAATGTCATATTATTAATAATAATCGGCGATTAAAGGAAAAGTAAACGACAATACATGGTTAGACATTTAGTTTAAAAAAAATATAATTTCTTTTACGCATACGTCTCTTGTCTCGTACGTTTCTCTCTCTCTCTCTCTCTCTCTCTCTCTCTCTCTATATATATATATATATATATATATATATATATATTTCACGCAGGAGTAACGCACGACACGTGCGCAGTCACGCACACAGCTTAATGCATTATACACTACACATACTCGTGCACTTTACGAAGTAAATGGTTTCGTCCTCTGACACGTGAAAGATTATTACAAACATTACATCGGCTATTTAGAATAATACAATTAGCGTGTGATTAATAACTTACATTTTCAAAGGTTCGAGTATAAGCCGACCGATTTAATAAATATGCATAATTCAAAGATCGTAATGGCAGGCACGAACGGAAAGTAAATTACAATCTAGCGATTTTTAATATTAATAGACATTAATTATTTTACATTAACGATATTGAAACTCATCGAATGTCAATGTTAAATTAATAATTTTTTTTTCTTGTTTTGTTGTTGTTGTTGTTGTTTTGTTTGTTTTTGTTTATATCGAATTTCAAAGTTTTAGTTAGAATGTAATTGGTTTATCTATAGGGTTTCATTAATTTCATGAAAATTGTTCGTAACATTGTCCGACATTGTAAAACTGTCGTTCTTATGTATGTACGAAGATACCTTTCAACTACATTAATTAAATAACGTAACGTAAAATTTAAGAACACCGAACGATTTCGCCAGTGCAACAGATTCACTTGAGAAAATTAATCAAAGCTCGGGAAATTCTGTGAAAATTCTTATTTTAAATTGTTTAACGAGCAAATTATCGATTGCCCAAATCTACAAGGCCAGCGGCGATGCCTCTGTAATTTTCTTCCTACTCGTTAATTTACTCATTAACCAATGCATATTAACGTCCGCACGCATACGAATTTTAATACATAATGCATAATGCACTGTCGTTTATCTCTGAGAAGACTGTATTAGAAAAAGTGAAGGCGACGAAAACATTAGCAACAATCATTGTGTAAAAAAATATACGTTCTAGAGAGAACAAAAGAAAAAAAAGAAAAAAAAAATTGTCTACTTAGCGCTAATCATTTTACATATAATACTATCGCAATTACATTGGCAAAGGTTTTACATACTTTACATACTTTTGTAAATGGCCTATCGTAAGAGTAATCGTAAATACTATTTCCTAAAGCAAGTCTAAATTTACGTTGGTGACGAGAATAAATTAAGGCACAGTGATGATGATAAATTGGCGAAGTCGTGGGATTTTATAAACGTTAGCTCGATCGATCGTCCGTTGAGAACAAGAGGCCTCGTAATGCTAATCTAACCTTAGCAATGACAATGATGTTTGAAATCTAGATATGCAAAATTACAGCTCGTTAATTGCAAAAGTAATGTCACTTTGAGTACAAAGTAGTGGAACGTCTGAAAACAATACGACAAATAAATTGCAATAATAGCTAATGGATAATTTAGTTTAATTATAACAATCTAAGTAATAAGCCACTCGCAATTTCATTCCTTAATCGTTAAATGTAGCATTGATTTGATGTTTATGCGTATAACATTATAAAATCCCAGTAATGATGCTTTTAATAATGGTTTACGAACAACGACGACTTCTCGGCAAATTTTTATAGCAAGTCATCAATTTATAGAACATTGATCAAATGATCTCGCTATATGTATATAGATAGATAGTTAGATAGCGAGATGTGTGTATAAACAATAAAATAATAAAAGTCGTCATGCCGATGTGCATGTGATCGAGGCACTTTGCGAGTCATACAGTGTGTACGTATTCCTTGTTCGTTTGCGCAGTCAAAATGTTAAAGTCAGTGAAATTTTTAATCATAATAGTATGGCCAATGAACGAGGCTTAGTTATGGCCGTTAACATTCGTATATCGATCGATAAACGGGAAAGTGGCTTTGCGTATCCACTTCCTTATTCAAATCAGCGAGCGTCAAACAAATTTTCATTATCATTTCACAATTACACCGATTCCGACCTACAAATTTTTAAAATTGCGTGAGCGTACGCATGAGGGAGGGGGGGGGGGAGATAAGAATACGATTACGATAATAAGGCAAAAAGAGAGACATTGCACGCGATAAAGGACGGATAATTCGAGGAAGGCGAACGTGCGTGGGCACGGATTCGTTGTAATATTAAAAATTTGTATAAAATGTTTGTATGGTTAATCGTCCGAGCCCATTGATTAGCGCTAAATCGTCGAGTTGTAGGGGAGACGACGGCTACGACATTTTAAATCGCTCCGCTGACATTTACAAAGCCAAAGTGACGAGCGTAAACGAACAGCAGACGCAATCGTATGGGGTGACCGAGTAGGCGAGTAAGGATGGGGGCTTGGAGGGGCTGAGTAATAAATGGTGTGGCGAAATCCTAAGACGAATTTACAATGTCCCGCGGACGACGCTATCGGCTCTTCTCGGACGGATTATTAGCAACGAGCGTGGATTCGATCGACGGTTTTATCGATCTCAAATGGCATTCCGCAGGCTGTTCCTTCACCACTAGAACAAGTGCGATTGGTTTTCTCTCTCTCTCTCTCTCTCTCTCTCTCTCTCTCTCTCTCTCTCTCCCACACGTACGCTCGCACACGCACGCACGCACTATGCCTCCCTGTGTCTTTCATTCTATCACTTTCCTCGTTCGCTAATACTCTCTCTCTCTCTCTTGCTGGAAATCGACTGAATAAAATGGCTCGCCACTCTTTTATACGTTGCACTTTGATAAGCGAGCACCGTGTTCTATTCAATTTCTTGGAGTTCTGAGACTTTCGTGTCGTGTCGCACACTTTGTATCGAAAGCTTAAGATATGGAAATTTTGTCAAAGTTGAAAATATCTAGCGATGCGATGTTCGTCAAGTAATTCGTCTCCAAGAAATTAAGATAGCAGACCTACTCGAAAAAGTATTTTTCAATTGGGAACTTGCGTGCAATTTTATTTATTATTTAATATATTATTAATTTTAAAAAACCATTCATCTTTATTATATATATTTTTTATGTTTTTGGTTCTTTTGTTGTTGTTGTTGTTGTTGTTGTTGTTGTTTTGTTTTTGTTTTTTGTTATTTTTGTTATTTTTGTTTTTGTTTTTGTTATTTTTGTTTTTGTTTTGTTTTTTACACTCGTAAATTGAAAGACAATGAATAGATCGAACATTTAAGATCAATTTCGAGTTAGCAATGAAAAGTAATTGCAATATTTGCAAAAATAAATAAAAAAAAAAAAAAAAAAAACAAAACAAAATTCAACGGAACTTCGTTATGTTACGTTAATACGAGCTATTATATACAATATTTTTAAATACATTTCTGAAAAAATGGCAAATAACTGAAATAATTGTTGCATACAATTTTATTGTCACGTTTAATGCATATTTCATAAATCGTATTCCGCAAAAAAAAAAAAAAAAATTATTCTCAAAGTATCGCTTTAAAATAATTGCCAATTTCCTTAATAATAATGGGTCTGTAGATTTTCAAATATTAAAAGAATATTCGGAAAATATGTTATTAATTATATTTTAAAAAGTATAATAATGAAATTTTAAAGCGATACACGATAGTCGAGGTTTCAATCAATGATTACAACACATTAAATTTTACAAAATTAATTTGAAATAATGTCATATGTACAAGTGTTATATAGTGAGTGGTTGAAGCAATGAAAATCCATTCACAGCTTTCCAAATTCTAATTCCAGATATTCCTAAATTTCATTTAATTCGAGTTATCGTTTAGATGTCTCGATCAAGTCGAGTCTCATCGCAATCGAAAATGACAATGTTATGCAAGAGCCCAATCAAATGCTCGACTCATGCTCTTTTTAGTTTTTAATCTTACATATAACGTACATGAAAATTAATTACTAATGTTAAGTGTTTATTCTGTCGATTTCACTTATTAATATAAAATATACAGCTGTTAATTGACATAATTTCAAGTGCAATTTTCGAGGACACAAATCGATTATCTTTACCTGGAGAAAGCGTGCATCAAAACGCATTATAATTAGTATGTATGCGAAACAATTAATTGTTGTTAGTCACTGAAAAACTGTGTAATTTAATCACCAATGACAATAAGGGGCCATTTCATTGGAAATTAAACTGCATTCAAAATGCCATTAATATTACTATTTTAACTTGGTAGCTTAATTTGAACGCCCGATTAAGACTTTCAAGGCTCAAAGATTTTCACTTTAAAAGTTTATTATATAATGAATAGCGACTCACCGTTAAACAATAACCAAGACGATTCTATCCGATACTATTAAGTTCTGCAATTAATTTTTTTACACAATATAGGCTAAGCAAATATGTCGTAATTCTTAGTAGGCTTAGATGCTTTCAAACGGTTGGTCAGAGCTGAGAAAGACGGGCCATTGAGAATTTCAAACAAGTGATGTACGTTACTCACCTACCTTAAAAAATATCCCAATCCGCTTATAATAAAAAAAAGTTTATCGTTAATTAATAAGCTGGAGCTCATTCGATTGAAAATTGTAAAATCACCAACGATAACATTTAAAATTATCCGACAAGCTGTCCAGCAAACGCGGCGTTGTTTGAAAAATCTATGGAGCCTCAATGAATTTAACAAATTTTATTTGCACATTTAACATTCTACGTTCATTTTAATGCCCACAATAATCACGCACAAATCCAAAATATCATATACATTATTCAGCGAATAATCAATTAACATATGTAGCACAGCACAAGCTACCTACGCAATTACGTTTCGTAATAATGTTTAATATATTCTCTTTATCTTCTTCTTCTTCTTCTTCTTCTTCTTCTTCTTCTTCTGTTTCTTTATCCTTTTCTTTATCCTTTTCTTTCTATTAGTATGATGGTATAGAATCGTGCGTGTACGATGTCGTTAAGATTTTATGATTTTAAGATTTTGAGATTTTGAGATTTCTTCAAGTAAAGAAAATCGCAGCGACGCCGCGTTATTAATTTACAATAGAGATTGAAAGGAAGTTATAGTTAATGCACAGGAAGACAAAGCCCGAACATCGGGGGCTAGTTGGCCAACATTAAAGGGGCGCCTCCCGTCGGCCAAGGTCTTGGCTAAATGCGTAATACGCTTATCGAACTCTGCTACGCTCATTGAACTCTCCGCGCATCGATTATCGTGAATGGAGATGTGCGCCCATTGTCGAGCATCGCAACACCTCGCTCGATTTACCTAGTGCGTCACCTAGTGCGGTTACGATGGGACTAGCTCGTAAACGGTCCAGGCCCGTCGCCCACATCCATTAAGCGCGACATCGTAACCAAGCCCGTCCGGGGTGGCGTCCCCTGGGTCAGCCGCGCTCCCCCGTAACCCTCACCTGGCTCGATGAGGCTGAGCCTCGCGGGTGGCGCGTCCGTGTAGTTTTGGCGCGCGTGAAGTCGTGCCCCGCAGGTCCAGAGTCCCTCCTGCTCCTGAAGGGCGTGGGACAGCTTGACGCTACAGTCCCGGCCCTCGGCACCCGCTGGCCCGAACAGCTTCACCACGACGGTCGTGTTGGCAGTGCCCTCGGGACTCAGAGACCAGCGGCACTGCTCCACTCGGGCCGAGGTCACGCAGCGCAGACTCACCGTACCGCCCGACGATATCTGGATGTCCTGCGACAGCTCCGAGAAGCGCACCTCCTCTGTCGGCAGCAGACAGGTGCCACTTTAGCCGGGGCATACTCGGGGTTAAAGCGATCCTCTATTTGGAGAGATTTCGAGGCCCCCTTGCCTCGATGCTCGTGAGAAAGAGATGAGGATTGCTCGGGAAAAGAAGGGTGCGACGTGAGGTGAGCGAGGACGGGGGGGGGGGGGGGGGGGGGGGGTGGGGGGGGGGGGGGGGGGGGGGGAGAGGAGGAGGAGGAGACACCGCGGTGGAAATAGACGAGGAGGTCTTTTAACGATACGACCGAGGGAAATAATACCTGGTGGTGGTGTCTCCTCCTCGGCCGTTCAATTCAATCAACTCACCCTCCTCGTAGACGCTGAGCTTGATCTGGCCGCTGGTCATGAGAGCATTGACGCCGGCGAGATAGACCTGGCAGGTCCAGTGGCCCTGGTCCTCGAGCCTGAGCCTAGTGAGCTCGAGGCTGCAGTTACGGCCAAGATCTCCGTGGCCCGGGAACTCGCGCAGCCTCGTCGGCTCGGGGTCGGCCTCGTTGTCCAGTGGTTGCCACGTCCAGGTGCATCGCTCCACGCGGCCATTGGTGGCGCAGCGCAGCGTCGTGCCCGAGCCAACGGCCGCCGATGTACTCTCCGGCACCTCCGTAAAGTTGACCTTACCTAAGGGTCGCGTAGCGTAAGTCGCGCGGGCATCGTTTCCTCTTTCTTGCTTTCTTTTCTTACCCTCCGGCTCTTTTCATTTGCTTTTTAATGGATAATTATGATAATTATTCAATGAATAATCGGCGTGAAAGAGGCCATCGAGAGTATCGTGTACTCCGTGTACGTACTACGCGTCCTCTTTTGAAACTGAAAGTCGTCTTCCGGTGAGACGCCATACTTCTTACCGAATCGTGCACATTATCGTTTTCATCATTCTCAATTCATTGCTCGTTGACTCGCGATTTTGCAAATTTATTATATCAGTCGTTGAAAAGACCACGGTCCTTGCACAATTCACGCGCCTTCAATACACTTTCATTCGATACTTGGCATTAAAGTTGTAAAATTCTTGGTAATCAAATGTCATTGACAAGGTTAGGAAATTCTCTGCGTTAAAATTGTGGCAGATATGATGTGCGATCTACAATCGAGTTTGAGTTTTCTAAAAGTCGAGGATCCTCGTAAGGATATACAGTAAAGCAGTCGGTGGATTGTTACGGCCGTGCAACTACAAACGCAATGAATTCGATTGGGATATGAGAGAAGCCGCGTCGTCCCGGTCGAGGCTCGAAGGACATACGAACCCGAGGGCAGAAGGGCTACGGTCGTCGAGGGCGCCTCGTGCAGTATGCCGTCGGCGGTGAGCTTGACGCCGCAAGTCCAAAGTCCCTCCTCCTCGTAGAGGATGTTCTTGAAGCGCACCGAGCAGTCGTGATCGGTCTCTTTGGCCGGGCTGAAGCGTCTCAGGAGGGTCGAGTTCTTGCTGGAGTTGTTGGGCCGCCAGGACCACTCGCACCCGTAGACGGGTTTGTTAACGAGGCAGCGGAGGAACACCGTCTCGCCCGCCGTTATCTGGATGTCCCGCGACAGCTGCACAAACTCCACTGGAACACACACAAACTCAATCTCATAAAACTTAGCGAACATTCCCGTAATCCCGTAGGTCATTACGAGAATTGAGCGAGGGCTGATTATTTTTATTAAGCATACAACGCTTCTACATTAATGTATACAACATTAACGACGTTTCATCTATTTGGGTAACATCGAGCGTTAATTTTACCAAAAAAAAAAAAAAAAAAAAAAAATCTAACCCAACGAACCAATGTTGGTTGAAATTGACTCTATACAACGCCCTTCAGCCCCATTAAAAAGTGAGCTTTTGAGCTTTTGAGCTTTTGAGCGACGAGAGAGCGCAGGCTACGTACCCTCGGAGATGAGCAGCTTGATCGGCCGGGCTTGGACGAAGGGCGTGCCCCCGTGGTGCCGGGCACCGCACGTCCAGATGCCCTCGTGCTCGGGCTTGACGGTCGATAAGCCGAGGTCGCAGGTCGGTCCCTCCGCGGGGAAACGACGCACCTCCGCGTCCCAGGATTGGGACTGGTTGAGCTGGCGCCAGGTCCATCGACACTCGTGCACCTGCACATTGGCACGGCAGGAGAGACGCGCGCCCGAGCCCGCGGGTGCCTCCACCGAATCCTCCCTGCCCAGGAAGCCGATACTGCTCGCTGAATAATTGAGAAACGCTTATCGAATGCTAATGCCGATGGACGCAGATTATTATTATTGTGATAATATCTCGCGTCTTCGATCGATGTCATTGGCGATCCAAGTTAGGTTGTAGTGGGTATGTAGGGCTCGTAGAGGGGTTCGACCACTTGGTCTTCCTCGCCTTGGGCGTTCGCGCGAATCTCGAATGTAACATAAGTCAAGTTGCCGTACGTTTCGATAATTGGCATTAACGTACGAAGAAATTTGCGATTCTCGAATGTTTAATCGATGTCGATGATTCGTTCTTTTGGTTATTTTCTTCGTTGACGGAGGGCCCTTGAAGACGTTCGGTGTTACATTTATAAAATGATATTTGAACGCTCGAGAGCGTTATTTTTGTGCCTCATTGCGTTACACTTACCTTGGCGTATCGCCTTTTCCCCGCAATTTTTCTTTAGTGAAAGATCGCGTTTTCTCCGACCTCGACAAACTTAGGTTTTCACTGCGTATTAATTACACGACTGTCTGTTAACGTCTGTTTAACGATATAAAAAATAAGAGTTGCCCTCGATGCTTCCAAGTGCATGAACATACGCGAGCAAAAACTACTACGTTAACTGCTTCATTCGGCCCTTTTTGCGTACTTTAAATTCGTCTTGATAAGCTAAATGACGGAAATGCTCTCTTAAGCACTTTTCCTCCGTATTTTTCCTTACATTTTATTATTATCGCGCTATAATTTACTGGTCGTTGCTTTTAAGGCTAGACGTTTATTTTGAGGACACATCCTCATATTTATCGGACACCTCGTGTTTTTTTTTTCTGTTTTTTTTTTTTTTTTCCTTTTTTTTTTCTTTTTGGCAAACGCTCAAATAAGTCAAGGCTCCAAATTAATTTAACGACTCAATCAAAGTCAATTTCTCTTTAACTGGCTTGGAGGCGAACATTCGCTCGTTACGAATAATACATTGATGATAATAATGATAAGAGTAATGATCGATAGTGACGATTTGTAAGAATAACGAAGAGCGCGGGATGTTAACGCGTATTTCGAAAAGTGCGACGCAATATTGTCTCTTTCGTTTGATAATTCCGCGAGGTCGAAAGCAACCATGCCAATCCACGCTAATTTATAAATACAATAATTCGTGTGTTGAGGATGTTACTCGGTGTGATCATACATACATACATACGTATATATATATTTTTGTGTGTGAAAATGAGCGAAAAATTTTTTGATTAATCGTTAAGATAATTTTATAAATATAATCGATTAGCACCAATGGAATCAATTGACCCGATCTGTTTCAATGTACGAGATATCGAAGCTTAATATATTCTTATGCATTTATATCGTTCGTTTGGTAAATCCGTATTTGTTATTATTATTTTTTCTTTTATAGTAATTATAATATATCTAAGGTAAAAATACGAGAATACGACTTTAAAGTAATTTATTGAGTGAGTGGTCGTATAAAACATAGATTATTACATGTCGTGATTAATCGATTATCTCAAAATCATCGGAAGCCAGATTTACATCACCGTACGCTAATTTTGTCTGCCCGTATAACGAAGAGGCGCAAGAAGAAGAATAAAGATTGAGAAAAATAGCTATGATAAGCGCACGGAAAAATAAGGAAAAAGAAAAAATGTCTCTCGATGTTGCGCATTTCATCAAGACGCAATCGACGATCGTCCCTTCGACATCTCTCAGTAACCGCTTGATCATCAATGTCGAACCATCGACAAACAATAAAACAAAAAACAAAACAAAAAAAAAAAAAGCAAAAAAAAAAAAGCAAACAAAGTACAGACCTGCGTCGACGTGGACGATGCTGAGTTTGGCCGGACTCGTGCTCGTGAAAGTCTCTTCGTCAGATCTCCGGGCGGCGCAGCTCCAGTAGCCGGTCTGCTCGTATCGGGTACTGGCGAAACGCACCGAGCAGTCGTTGCTCGTACTGCCGAAGGCCGGGAAGGTGCGCACCGCAAGGGACGGACCCGTCGGCGTCGTCGTCGTCGTCGTCGTCGTCGTCGTCGTCGTCGCATTAAGCGCCGTAATCGTCCTCATTGTCGACGTCGTCGTCGTCATCGTCGTCGTTGTCGTAGTCCTCGTCGCCGTCGCCGCAGCATCCACCAATTCATTCGCTGCGAACCATCAGATTCATGAGGAACGAGGAAATGGACCGCGTCATTGATTAAACATATTTATGCGCCCATTTCCATTATTTAAGCTTCATGTTCCAAGGAGAGTCGAATGCTTTTTGTCCATTTAGTTTATCGAACAATGTCACTACGTCCAATGATAAGATAATTGCGCCTGATATAGCACTTATTTGTCCCGATAATAATTCCGTCTTGCTCTGCATAAACGGTAAATGCATTATCGATTCCTCTGTCCTTTATGTAAACAAAATGTCCTTCTACACGAGGGAGGAGGTAGACTTGGTGATTGTCAACGATTTGGAACGCCTCGAAGCCGGGCCCGTACCCTAAGGGACAATTATATTTATCGCGTGGGTCGCCGTTGGAAATTGTCTCTGCCGGCGATTTGACGATTAAAAAAGAAGCAAGAAAGAAAAAAAGACTCCGGATACAAGCAAGGTCGGGAAAGCGGTCGCGCGGGTCTGCTCCCGGAGGAATGAGAGTCCAAGTGGAGCATCGGCACGAAGAGACGGCGGCGAGTGGTGAAATCGGGAGGCGCGCGCCCGCACCGAATGCCAAGTAGAGAAAAGTCGGGAAAGGCTACTGGCAGAAGAGGCGAGCAAGCGGGCTTCGGGCCTTTCATGTCTGGAATGCATAGGAGGTAGGCGTCGTTTATTAAACTAAACGGAGTATTTGGATGATTAGTGGCGAAATTTTTGGTGAGTTCGGGTACGAGGATTATGCCTTGGCTCGCGGAATCTTTTTAAGCGCCCGTGCGAAACGGGAAATCTCGACAATCTCGAGCTGTTATTGTTAATGGTCTGGGGCTTTGGGGAGACAGTGGTGGCAAGATTTTTTTTTTTTTTTTTTTTTTTTTTTTTTAAAGGGAAGAAGTAATGGCAGAAGATTTTAAGCCTGTGGTACAATTATCGCGTAAGCATCGATTCTACAATATCGTAATATATCGTAATATACGTCGTTACGTAAATCGCTTCTTTTTTTTTTCTTTTTCTTTTTTTTTTCTTTCTTTTTGTTTAAAGCTTGTACCGCTCTATCGTTGAATCATTCGATTTAAAATGCATAACAAGGAAAAAATATGTTTTATAATCTTGGTTAAGTGTTTCTTGAGAATCGAGTTATACAATTTGATGAAAGAATTGCAAAAAAAAAAAAAAAAAAATGGAAAAATTAGAAATTGTCTCATAAGACCGTGGGCCTTTTTTAATTGACACGGCGCATTTTACGTTGAGTTTTGCATTCTCTTTTTACCCAAAGAAGAAAAAAAGCCGATAAATATTTACAATACAGCTGTTAATAATTCGTCAATTCGTCAATTCGTCATTGCGGCAGCGTGATATAATTTACTTACTGTTTGTAATGACATTATGCTTGGGGCGGGAGGAGGGTCTGGGGGTCGATAAGATATGGGCCGAAAGGATTTTTAAAATAGATTTTTAAAATGCACGACGACGATGAAAGAAGCAAACTTACGTTCGACTATTCTCACAATTTCTCTTCATAGCTTCACAATGCACTGCGAAGTTACGTATTACGAACGAATCGAAGCCAATGTGCATATTTTCATAAGGGAATATTGGTAAATGTGTTAACAATTCTTTGCGCGTAATTTGTATTTAATCGTAAGCTGATAAATGTCGATAGAAGAAGCACTAAAAGTCCATCGCATCTACATCAAGTAGACGGCTTTGTCTTTGTCGTGGCCCGAACGTTCATCACACAGAGGTCCGTCGGTTCGAGTCATTTTTATTGTTTCGCGTTGTAATTCATAAGAAAAAATTATGAGACGCGCAGGCTTTTTGAAATTACTTATTGTCAACGAGCGAGTGTAAATTATCCCTTAAAGACCATTATCATGGCTGGAACTTTTGTCATTGCGTAGGAGCGGATGCTCTTACGAATTGCCTTTACACTCACCACACCCGGGGCCACCTTCGTATTAGCAATTTGGCCGTCAATCAATCCAATTCTTCTCTTCTACCGTCGTAAGTTAATGTAGTGTAGTGCCGCGGACTCGCGATGATAATCGATGCAAATCAAATCAACTATAATCCCCCAATGAATTAACGAAAGACAACAGTCGATGAAGTTACGAGACCATCCTCCCCCTCTTACTCCCATAATCCATTCCAATTTAGACTCTAGTATCATAATCCCAAAGTACTCACCGTTGGCGTGGATCTGGGAGAGGCTGTCGTCGGTATTAGGCAGAGGTAGGTGGGTGGGAGGCAGGGGCTGCCAGGACCATCGACACTCAGCGACGGGCTCGGCGGTCTTGCAGACGAGGAGGACCGAGGCGCCGAGTTCCGTGTCCGTGTGATGGGGCGCCTCGGAGAATCCGAGGATCGACGGCCTTGGTTGGGGAGGCGGTGCCGGCTCCTCCGGCTCGATCTCCGTCATCGGGTTTCCGGCTGCCGCAGCTGCTACTATTTCTGCTTCCACTTCGGTTGCTGTGGCCGCTGGTGCTGGTGGCGGTAGCTCCGTCGGCTCATCCCCGAGCGGCACGCCTGCGCACGGAGCTTAAAGTTAGGTAAAAGTTCATCCATCGTGTGGATGCGAATCGTCGGTGTGGAGACGGAGAAGAACCCGCTTGGAGGATCATGACAGTAGAGTTTGCGAGTAACCAACGAATCGGGCTCGTTCGCGAATAATCGGGGATGTTGGGCGCGCGTGTCGAGGGGTCCGGTCGCAGGGGCGATCGACCGGTATCGAGCGACAGCTCGTCGGTGCGCGCGCTCGTGCGTATGTGGGACAGGAGACAGGAAGTCTCCTTACGCGAAGCATCACGTACGCGATCGCCTTGCGGTGCGCGTCACCCACGTTGCTTTCTACGTGCCCCGTAAGCCCGCGGAGCTTTCGGCCGACGATTTCGATTTCGGGTTTGGTGGGAGATGGTGGCGGGGGTACCGATGGACGGACGGAGGTCGACGAACGAGTTGCCCCGGACATTATCCACGGTGTTAGACTGCTTGCATCGTTGATAGAGGGAGCATCCATTGCTTTCTAAAGCCAGTATTGTGTCCTATGGTATGCGATGCGCCGAGTAGCGAAATGTCCCGGTTGGTCAATTGGCAGTCGGGAGGTCGGTTGTCGTTTGCCAGCTGGACAGCCCGTTTATTTCCCAATGCCAGGTAGTTTTATAGTATTTAAGATAACGTCGAGGTTAGGTTGTTAGTCGTGCGATCCCTGTACTTTTAATAGTTCTACCATTGAGGTGATTGGAGATGTTGTTATTATTGTACAAAAAAAAAAACAAAAAACAAAAAAAAAACAAAAAAAAAATATATATATATATATATATATATATGTATATATAAATATGTATGATTGACATTATTATGGCTGACATTGTCAATCGCGCTTTCTTTAAGCTTTCCTTTGCCATTCGTTCGCTATAATTTATTTTCAGCTACTCGCGCAACCCTTCAGTCATTGCGTGCACCATTTGCAAAGTGCAGTACGTATAATTTCATTTTCAAGAAGCTAGTTGTTTTCGTATGGTTCAGGCAGTGCTTGTATTTCAAGGTGAAAAATAGTAGCGACGGTATTTAATAATAATAATATGGTATATTTATACGAATACGAGAATTTGGAGTAATGTAATTACACGATTGAGAAAGCAGGCGTTTCATTCGTTAATATTTTCAAATGCTACGATGAATGTGCATTGATTATCCGTAATATCCTTATATCCTTATATCCTTGTATTAAAATGGCATAAAAATTGGAAAAAATATGTGAAAGAAAATTTTTAATAATTCTGAACTTTGAAAATCTTTATTTTATAAACGTAAGTCGATATTTGTGTTTCGGCAGAGTGCAATTAGCTGTGTAGGAATATTATATTTTACGAAATCGGTAAACATCGTTATCGATTTGTCACAGGATTAAATTCACACGAATGCTGCACCTTTTTTAATATTTTCCTTCCGAAGCCGAACACTTAAAGTACAATTTACAGTTTGTAATCTAGAGAACTTTTAACGAGATATAATAAGGCAATGAAATTAAAAGCCGCATTCTTAATTTATCCGCAATTTTGTAAATTTTAAAAGATCGAATGCAATGAGAAGTCAATCAATGACGAAACACTACGTAAAATTGGCTTAAATTAAACAATATTCGCATGAAATAGCTCGCATTATGGATAATAACGGTTTATTTATTGTCTGCGCGATAAATAAGGAATACAAACGTAATTTAATCGCAAGTGCGCCGATAAAAGATGATTTTCAAAAAATCAATATCCCGATAATGTCTATAGGTTAGGAAGCAAAGAGCATTATAATGGCTTTAATATATTATTTAAGTTGACGTGCCGTTGAAAAAATCGTTCTCTGCTCGTACGTAGTCGCGAAATGGGCCAATAATTGCCAGGTCTTTTTGAAATACGACGCGGCTATTACATTCATACGAGCTTACTTCTCCCGTGTCATCGGCCCGACCGCTATGTACATCACTCGTCGGTAGTGGTCCTTGAATAAAGATTGATGCAAGGATACTTTAAAACAACTACACATCCTACGTATTATTGTTTTTCTTTTTTAATACTAAGCTTACGTATTCTAAATAATAATCGACACTGGAATTAATGCCTTCTTTCCACGGAACCTGAATGGCATTTCACGCGTCTTTACCTTTTTATTAATTTGATCAATGCATTTGAACTAAAGTTTATGAAAAATATTATTTCTAATGAGTGACAAACGTATTCGCTAAACATTTCCATTACAGTCAATCGATGTTCTTTGATTTCAGAGGTAAGGAAAAATTTCTGCATCATATATGATTGCATGACGATGAAAGCAATGTAACAGAGAGAGTTAGAGAGAGAGAGAGAGAGAGTTAGAGAGAGAGAGAGAGAGAGAGGTATTATTTGTTCGACAAGTATTTTGTATTGAATATATTAATTTAGATCTAAAATTGAACTCTAATATTCAATATTACAATGACGAATTTGATACATTGATCATTTTTAGATTTTTAGACCATACATTATCACGAATTTCCAACAAATATACAGTCTAAAGTAATTAGTCCTTTATATACTAGCGAAGCATGTCCAGCTATGAAAGATAAACTGCTGTAAATAGTCGATGTGACTATGAGTTACATTGATAAAGATATATTAAACTGGTATGGAAATAAGAAAATATCATGGTAATGTACATAGGCACACCGTGTAAAGAGAAAAAAAAAATTACCCATCTACAATTGAAAATAGAAATAAAATGCACAGTTATATGAATTAGTTCGATAAATTATATAGTTCTACCAGACCAAATAAAATCATTTTAATAAGAAGGTGATGAATTTAATTAATTTTTCATTAAAATGCCAGATTTATCAATAATTACATTGTTAATTATAGGAAAAAATTTAATAATCGTAAATGATTTATTTTACCCATTAATAACTTAATTGTATTGTATTGGTTGATAGATTATATTAGATATAAATTTGACATTCGTCATAAGTTTACACGTGAATGAGAGTAATTTATGGGAATCTTATTAACGTTCTCTGCCTTTATTCATTATATCGCCAACCATCGTGTAATTGGGCATGAAACCTCGCATCAAGAAATTTCGTTCGTAATTTTTTTTTGAAAATCTTAAGGATTGTTAAATATTTGTAAATTTGTTATTAAGTAGCTAGTAAAGTGAATTTTAAATAATCCCTGTTTAAGGATAAATGCGCTATAGCGATGAATTATTAAACAAAAATTATTTCAATAATTATTAACATAGTTTTGTAATATCAAGGGAATTATATGATTTTGAAAGAGATTCGCTTAAAATATGCGTTTATTGGAATTTAGCTTTCACTAAAGGTAAGCCTTTGAGGAAAAAAATAATTCTTCTTTGAGTGAAAGTAATTTATTTTAGTGCACCATAAATGATAATGAGCGCCTCTCTCTCTCTCTCTCTCTGTGCGCGCGCGCGCGCGCTCGCGCTTCTATGCGTCTGCATTGCGTCACCGAGGTTATATCGCAGTCATCGTTATTTATTCTATCGAAAGGTCATTTGGTCTCGATGCAACCAACACAAAATCATTAAATTACCAAATAGACAATGTATCAACTATTTATCCAAAAAAAAGTCATATCGTCAATTCAAATGAAATCAAAGCTATTAGACTTCGTTGGCTGGTCAATATAAGATTTGCCAAACAATGGTGGAGATATCATCGACAAAGTGCCTAGTACTCGGTCAAAAAAACAAACCAAAGAAAAAACATTCAGTCGACAATTGCCCGTATGAAATGAGCCGAACGTCGGGCTTATAATTATTTGGCCGTTGCATTAGCCAACGACGAACCTTCAAAATATCCGGACGACCGTATATTTGGAGGATCCCGTCAACAAGGTTCTTTGGCGCGCGAATCGCCCGACGAATGCCAATGAGGACTCGCGAAAAAGGTCAGCCACCGAGCAATCGTTGAGTATAGTGTAAGAGGCGAGAAAAAGGAGACGGCCGTGCATCTTGGCTTTTCCGCGTCGTTACGCGAATAAAGAAAACGCGCGGAACGAGGGCGGCCCTGATGGGGTTGTGTTGGGTCCCGATGCCCATGCGACCAATTTTAAGGGACGAGGTGAACCCGAATACGGGGCCTAATCATGTTATTATGGGATCGATTTTTCCATGGCTCCGTATCGAGTGTCCTCGGTGTTGGTAAAATTTTATATTTGACGCGTGGCGGTACGAGAGACTTGGAAGGCCAATACATTCTTATTTGTGAGCATGAAAATTGCATTTTCCAATGTTCTCAGCATTGTCTATGATAGATATACCGATATAACGATATACCCTTCGTTGAAATTTGCCAAAATGTACTTTCTACGCTAGCACAGTTAATTATTAATCCGCGATGAATTAACTGCGTAGTGAGAAAAATAACTTGAAAATGCCGTATATAAATGACGTAAACGCTCTTTTATCCCATTTTATCTAATATGAATAAATAATAAAAATCCTGTGATTAGAGTTTTGACTAAGCACGAATGCATAGCTTACATTGAATTATAATAAAAAAAATAGTAAAAAGTTGTAAGAGGGTTAAAAGCTGCAATTGTTACAGCAGAAGCAATTATATATGAAAGGAAATCATGTGAGAATAATGCGAAATCGAAATAGCAATCGGAATAATTCATCATTGATACGCTTCTAATTATTATGTAGGCAAGTATCGCTTATGGATAAAATAAAAATTTCACACTAGAGTATTATAAATATTATAGTATCATCAATATATATATATATATATATATAACAAAAGAAAGAAAGAAAAAAAACAAAACGAAAGTATTCTCAAAATAACGAGTTAATCGTAAACAATTATATTTTATTATCAATAAATATAATGATAATAATCAAAATTCATGTAAATAATAAGTTAAAAAAAAAAATACGAATATAGTTGGCAGATAAATAGCTTAAAATCAATTGTGTTTTAATAGTTAATAGAGAAATTTTTAAATGAAAAGAATTCTTCGGTAGATGAAATA